CGCAAGTAGAAAATCCTCCTATACCTTTAATGACTGTTTTATGTCTATATATTTCTTCTTTTGAGTTTTACTTCCTGTCTGTTCAGTTGATTGTCTACCTACCCACATGTGTTTCACTTGTGTCGCCCTGTGTGTGTGTGTGTGGGATTGGGTTTTTTTTGTTTTTTTTATTCTTGCATATGTCCTGCATTTCAGTTCTTTCGTTATTTTCATGTCTTAACTTAAATATGAATAATTTTTCATTTTCAATCTATAATCATCCATCATAGTGTATCAGTTGTTTGTGCTTGGTGCGTGTGATTATTTCTTACAGTCTATGGGTTATTCTTATAATTAGACCTGGAGGTGGGGGGAGTGGGGTGGTTAGACAAGACCCTGAGCCAGACCATTTGTACCCGTTCTGTGCATTGACTTGTCCTGCCGGAGGTCCGAGGAATCTGTTTTGGGAGGCCACAAGTAAGTATGGAGCATGGGTAGTAAGTATAGCACACGCGTCTGTTCTGCTTATGTATTTTGAGCCCTTTATTTCCCTACTATTCAAGATCTACAAGCCATACATGTATTTTTACCAGCACAAGCTTCCTCTCAAGCTCAGTTCAAAATACATTGAGTACTAGGTATTGTGTGACTGCGTGATTTGTTTACATCATTCCAACTTTAGATCTGTTCTTGTAGCAAGAGCTCAATAATGAAGTGGTTCTATTCACTCCTGTGTCTTCGGTGTTATAAGATTTTTTTGTATCCGTTTTTTTTTTTTCTAAAACATCTCATGTCACAAAAAAAAGTCACAAGTAATCAGTTAGTTACTGATTACTTCTCCCTAAAAGTAATTGTGTTAGTAACTATTATTAAAGGGCAAAAGTAATACATTTCCAGCCAATGTAACAGGAAAAAGAAATGATGAACGCAAATCCAAACAGTAAGCATTAATCAATCTGTCAGCGACAGTGGCAAAACAAAAATGTTTACATTGTTCTAACTCAAACTCTCACTCTTGTGTGCGCAAACAAGGCAAAAGGACCTTCTCACTATTCCACTACTCATATTAGAACCAAAGAAATATATGCGTTTATGGGAGCTGCATGAATCCCATGTTGTTTGTTTGTTGTTGTTGGGCGTGACTGTTTACATCTGAGCCCCTTCGGACCCCACCGCACTCCCCCGCCTCCTGCTCACCAGCACCGGGTGAGTACAACGGTGCAAACACTGCTCCCTGTCCGTCTGGCAGTGCATTACCAGTTCAAACACTGAACTGTGCTGACTCCCTTCTGACTCTGGGAGCTAAAGAACAACAACAAGGGTTTTCACATTTTAGGCCAATTGAGACTGTGTATGTTCCTCGCACCAGCTCAAAAATGTTTTTAAATTCTAAAAAACGAAATCAAAACAGGACAGCAGTTAGACGGTCCAACTCTGCAAATCTAATTTCTGTTCCCTGTAGAAATCAATCAACCACATTAATTGACTCTGACGTTATTTTTAAACTTGCTATGCTTAATGTCAGATCTCTATGTAACAAATCATTTTTAATTAATAATTTTATCACTTCTTATGATCTTGATTTTATGCTTATGGCTGAAACATGGCTGGACCAAAATACAGGAAATGCAGTCCTAATAGAAGCAACACCACCCAATTTTAAATTCGAATCCGAAATACGAGAAAACAAAAGGGGGGGAGGCATAGCTGCAGTTTTTAGAGAGCACTTTGTCTCCCATAGAATGCCCCTTGGAAATTTTTCATCGTTTGAGTATATTTCTTTTAAAATGGTTTTTAAAAAACAAAAGCAATCTTCTACTCTTTTCATTGTCCTGTACAGGCCACCACAGTCATGTTGCGATTTTATTGACCATTTTACTGAACTACTTTCATTCGTGTGCACAGATTTTGATAGTTTAGTTATTACAGGGGATTTTAATGTACATGTTGATAATGTTGATGACAGAAATGCAAAGGAGCTGGCTTCTGTATTTGAGACCTTTGGTTTCATTCAGCACGTGAGTGGCCCCACCCACAGCAGGGGGCACACTCTTGACCTGCTAATTACAAAGGGGGTTAATGTATCAAATGTTAATGTAGTTGATGTTGCTTTGTCAGATCATTTCTGTGTATTTTTTGACATGTGTTTTGCTAGCAAACCACCAGCTGAATTTACAATTGTTAGAAGAAGACACATACATGAAAACACAAGTGAACTGTTCATGGGAATGCTAAATTTTGAGAAAACTCCATGCTCTACTGTTGATGAATTGTATAACTCTGTCACCACCAGTGTTCTGACTGTTCTGGACGCCATTGCTCCTGTGACGGTTAAAATAGTTACCAGTAAGAAAAAGGCCCCATGGACTAAGGCAGACTCGGTCAGGGCACAGAAGCAAGAGTGCCGGAGGGCCGAACGGAAGTGGCGAAGTCCAATTTCCAGGGCGATTATGAAATCTTTAAAGATGAGTTGGGTGAATTTAACCGGGTTCTACGTAGAACAAGAGAAATGTATTTTTCTGACATTATTGGAGGTTGCAGTAACAATTTTCGTGTTATGTTTTCAACAGTTGGTAGATTAACGAACCCCCCTGTAAAGTTGCCCCTAGAATTTTCCTCTAAATCTAGGTGTAATGAGTTCGCACAGTTTTTCGATGACAAAGTACAAGGAATCAAAAACACTATCACCTCCACAGCACGTATAACAATGCAACAGCCTGAGAAGCTTTTTGAGCTAACTCACTTTGCACCTGTGGATACTGAAACTGTCAAAAAGATAATCATGAGTCTGAGCTCCTCCACATGTAGCCTGGATATATTGCCCTCTAAATTTCTGAAGTCCGTCCTGAGCAGTTTGTTACCTTCACTGACACAAATAGTAAACATGTCTCTGTCGTCAGGAACATTTCCTATGGCCCTAAAAACAGCAGTCATAAGACCTTTCCTAAAAAAGAGCAGTCTGGATCCTGCGGGACTTCAAAATTATCGCCCCATATCGAATCTGCCATTCATTGGAAAAATTCTTGAAAAAGTGGCCTCCCAACAACTTACTGAATTTTTAACAATGAATAATTCTTTTGATATGTTCCAGTCTGGGTTTAGACCCCACCACAGCACTGAGACCGCTCTAGTGAAGGTAACAAACGACATTCGACTTCACACTGATGCCGGTAAAGTCACAGTTTTGGTCATGTTAGATCTTAGTGCCGCGTTCGACACTGTCGACCATGAGATCCTCATGCAGAGACTGGAGGACTGGGTTGGTGTCACTGGCACAGCCCTAGACTGGTTTAGGTCTTACCTGAAGGATAGGAAGTACTTTGTGGAGATTGGAGACTGCGTCTCAGATCATGTGGCCCTGACCTGTGGAGTACCACAGGGGTCGATCCTGGGACCTCTCCTATTTAATCTCTACATGCTGCCGTTAGGTCAGTTAATACAAAGAAACAAAGTGTCCTACCACAATTACGCCGACGACACTCAGATCTATGTCTCACTGACTGCAGGAGAACATGGACCACTGGATTTGCTCCTTCACTGTATCCAACAGATCAGTGACTGGATGCAAAATAATTTCCTCCAGCTAAATGCAGACAAAACCGAAATCATTGTCTTTGGTCCCCAGAAACAAAGAGAGGGCGTCATTTGTCAACTTCAGTCTCTCTCCCTACTTCCTTCAGACAAGGTCAGAAATTTGGGGGTAATACTGGACTCAGACCTAAATTTCAATAGCCACATAAAATCAATAACATCAACAGCTTTTTACCATCTGAAGAACATTGCCAAAGTTAGAAATATAGTGTCCATGGCAGACTTGGAGATTCTTGTCCATGCATTTGTCTCCAGCAGGCTAGACTACTGCAATGGCCTGCTCACAGGTCTGTCCAAACAGACCTGTAAGCAGCTGCAGTACATCCAAAATGCAGCAGCTAGAGTCCTGACAGGAACCAGGAAGTATGACCATATTAGTCCGGTCCTCAGGTCTCTGCACTGGCTTCCTGTGGCTCAGAGAATAGATTTTAAAACAGCTCTGCTTGTGTACAAGTCTCTCCATGGCCTTGCACCAAAATACATTAGTGACATGTTGGTGTCATATGAACCAGCCCGGACTCTGAGGAGCACAGGGACTGGCCTCCTGCTGGTGCCCAGAGTGAGAACCAAACATGGGGAGGCTGCGTTTCAGATCCATGCAGCTAAGATCTGGAACAATCTCCCTGAAAATGTGAGGGAGGCGTCTACTCTGTCAATGTTCAAATCCAGGTTAAAGACTGTTCTGTTTGCCTGTGCATACAACTGAAGGATTTTATCTCCATTTCTAATGCACTGTTGTCATTTATTTATTTATTTTTTTAAATTTCTTAAGTTTTAATGGTTTTATTCTTTTGTGTGATTTTAATGTTTTAATTGTGTTTTAATCTTTTGTGTGATTTTAATGTTTTAATTGTGTTTTAATCTTTTGTGTGATTTTAATGTTTTAATTGTGATTCTGGTGTTTGTTTTATGTGATGATTTGTGATGTGGACTGTGAAGCGCTTTGTGTTGCCCTGTGTATGAAAGGCGCTCTACAAATAAACTTTGATTGATTGATTGATTGAATGACTGCACTTGTGCATTTCTGGGACTTATGTGTAAGTGTGGCCTAAAGGTGGATTATTCCAAATTATTAATATCAGCAGTATGGAAAGAGGAGCGCGGTATGAGGTTAACCCTGGCTACTTCAACAAGACAGTTATGAAAAGACTGAACGATTTATCAAGAAGGCAACAAGGACCCCCAGATTTATATAAAGCACACGTGTCTTGTTTGTAGCTTGGCCCATTCTCCATTCAAAGGTGAAGAAGCAGGAAACACTTCCATTTCCATGGGGTCTGGGCTTTCACAACTGCTCCTCTTCCACAGCAGGACTCGCTTTACTTCACAAGACAAACCCATAACTTATAACCTATTTGAAGTTCTCTGCCAATTATATCATTGTTATTTTTTCTTGAGTAAGCCCCAACCAACTTAGTTTGACGTAGACCATGAAGGGTCTGTGCTCCTTACAACCATATACAGATTGTATATGGTTGTTGTTGTTGAGGAAACCTTTAATTACTCATTCATCAATCTTGGTCTGCGTGTTACTCAGGGTCACTTGAGTACATCATACTTTCAATGAGTTGAAAGTATGATGTATGGGGCTTCCAAGTAAAGACACTGATGACGCTGGGGTCAAGTTATGCTAGCAAACTTTTGGGGTCCCCAACAGCATTTCCTGAAGATTTACAAATCCATATTCTGCAGTCAAACTGGAGATCTCAGTGTTTTATCAAAAACCGGACCGGTCCATTCGACTGGTTGCATTTTAATTGGAAGTTACCTTAATAGAATAACTCTGCTGACCCTTTAACAACTTCTACAAAATCCTTATTTATTAGAGTAGACTTAGGTTAACAAACAAAATGTAATGATAACATGGACATAACATGATTATAGTTTATACTAATCACAAATTATGACCTATTGACATTTTGGTATTTTCTTCCAAGGCTGACTCTAAAGTTTAGCGTTAGAATCCTTGGGTCTTCGGTCTCTGATGAAGGGCTATAAAAGAAGTTTTTAAATAAGGCTGCACATCCCCGGAGCCAGAACCGTGCTAGATTAAAAAAGAAAAATCTAGGCTGTAAAAGAAACCACCTATTGTAAATGAAGTCAAAGTGTTAAACATAATGAAAACAGTGAATCAGCACTCTTTGACGAGGAATATTGTGGCATTTAAGCATTGTATGTATGTACTGTATGTACTGTATGTATGTATGCATTTAGGTATGTACTGTATGTGCGTGTGTGTGTCTGTGTGTGTATGCAACATGGATAGAAAATAATATCTGGATAGGGTATTACTAGCTTATAGCTGTCCCACCCACGGCCACAGGGGGCGCCCGTGGTACTGTAGACTAAATTTACGTGGGCTACCCAGAAAAAAGTCCCATAGAGTCCCATAGAACTCGATGTAAATTAAAACAGCTCGACCTCAGCTGACAGAGAACCTACAGCTTTCGTAAAGATCGGATTTTGTGGGGATTTTTGTGTCCCTTGTCATCCTGAACTTTTTTTCTTCTCAAATCCTTCTGTTTTTGTTAAATTTACACTTTACTATCACAAAATCTGCTCGTTTCCTTCCTGCTCTGACTCCACTCTACCGCTGCTCTGATCAGCAGCTCTGATTGGTCAGAGCGCGGCCGAGCCCCTCTGTGACCATGCATGAGAGCCACACAACCGTATTTGGCGCAATGCATCATGGGAGCTCGTCCACTGCTGAGAACCGGGAGGACCAGACGATGCCCAAATATTGGCAAGTTCTGCAAATTTCTCGGACCCCGTGAAGTCCCATGCGCTACTGAGCACAAGCGATTCATTTGAATAGGGCGCCATCTTGGACCACCGGGGCTTGGTATGCGAACAGTACAGACAGAATAAAGAGTTTTTATTTATTTTCATGACTATGAAAATTGTAGATTCACACTGAAGGCATCAATAGTATGAATTAACTCATATAGAATTATGTATACTAAAAAAAAAGTATGAAATAAATTAAAATATGTCTTATATTCAACAGTCTTGAAGGAGTTCCAGCTCACCGGTCCGGGGACTGTGGAGGCCAGGTCATCTGGCCCAGCATGCATCACTCTCCTTATTGGTCAAACAGCCTTTACACAGCCTGGGTGTGAATCTACAGTCAATGAAAAAAGGACACTCATTGAATGAGAAAGTGTGTCCCAATTAAAAATTCAAATGCTTTCATATGTAACCCATGTGTGGTGTAAACTGGGCACTAACCAGACAGAACTCCTGCTCACCGCTGCTTCTTATATCAATTACTTGTCAACATCCTAATACACAAGGCGACACCACAACTTAGTCCTCTAAACAGCCGAGCCTTGTCTAATCGATTTCTTGTCACTACTTATCCAACGTTATGTCAAGGCTAGCTCCAGGCATTTGTTGACCACAACCAAGATAACTGTGGCCAAAAACTGTTTGACGAAAAACAAGACAGGAAATCAGTGATGACTAAAAGGTTACTTATAAAATGAGGGGTTTTAAAATAATCCCAAGAAAATCAATTTATCAATTTAAATATTTATAATTGTTGATTGTTTATAAATATTGATTTAGATGGATCAGGTCTTATTTTAAAATATGCTCAAGAAGAGATGGAAACAATTCAATCATTTCGTAAATATGTATGAAAAATAGATTGATGGTTGAAAGGTGGGATAAAAAAATGATTCAGGTACATGAATGCCAATGAATGTGAATTGAGAGAAACAAATCTTGAAAATCATAAGTGCTGAACTCTGACTAAATAAAAGGGTTTCCTTGTACACTTTTACACATGAGTCTGTTTGTCCATTGATCTCAATGTGTACCTGGATAACTAAGTATTCATCTATAAATAGTTCTGTACACGTTATTTCTATTATTCACTAATAGTTTTCAAAAACTATTCTACCGATTGTTCTGCAACCCTATTCAACAAAAATATTTGTTTATAGCATTTTTTGTTTTATTTTATTTAGTATAGCTATTGTTCACTTATCTTGCGTGCTCCTCATTCCCACTGTTCTGTAATTTGTGATGCAACACTGAAATTTCCCCGCTGTGGGACTAATGAGGGATCTCTTATTAAATCTCTCTGTTTTATAGTTTACTTTCATCATCAGTGGCTTAGTGTTAGTGGACTGTTGCTTTATCAGAGTCAGAGACATGGAACTACTCTCCCCAGGACTAAAACCTTGAACACAATAAGAAAAGTGGTTAGTATTCACATCATTATGGCGCTCAGTTCTTTTGAAGTCAATGTTTGTGAACGTGTTTTGAAGAAAATCGTCCTTTACAGTTCAATATCAGCTTCATATCGGCTAGAAATATTCTCTATTTTTGGTTGATGCTTTTATATGTTTTCTATTTTAATCCATTTTTACTCTAACAACTTGTGTGCAGCTTGAGCAAACGCATATTTCTAGTTTGTAACTTCCTGTTACATATAATGGCTACAAAAATAATTCTTATTCTAATATTTTAGCTGCTATATTAGAAGAATAACATTGTATAGTTATGATTTTAACTCTTATGGTTGAAATGTGTTTATGATATCAATATATTTTTGAATGTATATTTACGAGACCGCTACAATACTCATACTTAATAATCATTTCATAATCATTTTAACAGTTGGTGCTCAGTCTCCCTGACTAAAAAGTCAAATTGTTTGTCCAATGTCTCATACTTTCCATGTGTTGCTTTAGATCAAGAGTAGTGGGTCTGGTTGTAGCACTAGCTGTTGGCAATATATGGTTTGTTAGTGCCTGGTTCTCGTTCGGCACATGACTGTGTCCGGGTCGTCACACATATGGCCAGAAAACTAGGGACACACAAAAACAAACACATCTGGTAACTCGAGTTGCTCTGGTCACGGTAGCGCAGCCAGTCTCTCATGATTCCTGTACAGAATCATCCTGTACAGAATCATGAGAGACTGCGCAAATGTTTGTTTACATTACAGTATACTTTACATGTCAACGCTTTTCTTCAGCTTATGCTTTTCGTCATGTGTCTATTTGTGAATATATAAATGTGCTATTATGTCACCTCTCATTTTGGTTTTGGGGTGCAGCCAGAATCCTTGTATTGTAGCACCTGCATTTTAATGGTCACTATGTTGATGTAAACAAGCTAAGTGAACTCTCAAAAGAAAGTAACAAGGCCAGATCTCTTATATCTATTTCCCATATACATAATAAAATGTAATTGGGCAGATAAGTAAGCCATTCTTTTTTCTAGCCAAGATAGAGGACCAATAATCTAGTATTTGTTGAGTTTGACTGGCTCTTTTGTGTTTTGTATTCCTCCAAATACCAGGACCACCGACAGATTCAACAGGGCTAAGCATAAGGGTTATTTTGGCAGGGCTTATGGAGGGCAAAACATGAAATTTGTGGATGTTATTTATATTGTTAATTATATGTTATTTAACTTAAGATTTAGGATTTATAGATTTATTTTTAGTTTTAGTTTTTGCAGTTTCTCCATTGGCCTTTTTGTTGCCCTGTGTGTGTGTGTTTGTGTGTGTTTATTTTGTAAAATTGAATACACAGAAGCACGTTGGTTAGCACTCGTGCTGCACAGCAGGGATGCCACCTCCAGACTGGGCCTTTCTGGTGGATTTTTGCATGTTCTCCATGTGTCTGCACTGTGTGTTTCCTCTGGTGCCTCCTGAAGTACAACATGATGCATGGCATTTCTGTGTATTTCAATGATTAAATGTTGTCAAAATGTTGCTCTGTTGTACTGTAAATACGTGTGTGTGTATAGTTAGTTTGTATATGTAGGGAAATGCTCAACCAGGTCAGGGGTTAAGAATTAGCATTTGCTCTAACTAGGTACGTGTTGCATCTGGTGCATAGTTTTCTGCAGTATGTGAGTACGTATCAGAATCAGAATCATTTTTATTGTCACGTAAGTAACAAGAAGTCACAGAGTTGGAAATTGCTTTGGCTCAGTGCAAAAGTCAGAAAGAGAGGTAAGAATCGAGAAGGCATAATAAAAAATAGAAGACTAAAAACACTTCTAAGGAATACCTTTAAAATAGAGTTACAATTACTATATACAATATACAAGTGGACATGGTGCACACAATGTAAGGTGACAGCAGTACAGTGAAGTAAAGTGACGTATGATGGGCAGCAAAGTGACATTATAAATGACAGTAAAGTGACGTAATAAAGCTTAAAGAACCACCGCTTTATTTGTTATATACATTGTACTTCTTTCAAAAACTTCACATTGTACATTTAAAACATTTGAAACTTGCCTTAGCTAACTTCTCTATTATCTATTATCACTTGTGACCTCGTGCTACAAACTCCTTTGAAGGTTGGCATAATATCACGTAGAGTGGCCTTCAATTAGCAAGAGTCCCTGTGAATGTCTGCAAAAAGAAGTTACTTTTCAGAGATCAGTGGAGAGGTCAAGCTTGAATTGTGTGGTTGGTTTGTTGTATGACAAAATATGACAAAACACTCAATGTACATTTAAACGGCATGTTTGAATAATAAGCAGCGAAACATAGAGCCTGAACATGTCCACTGTTGCTGTGTTGTTTTAGGGCTGTTTCTATTGGTTCCTGTCCTCACGGTCCCCACACCCTCCAGCCTTTGCACCCCTCTGAAGACCATCAACGACAGTCTGAGCCACAGGCGGCGTTATATGGTGAGAGAAGTCCCATCAAGACTGAGACTGAGAGGGACGAAGGGTGCTGTATGATCTTGTATGACTGTATGATTTACCAAAGCGATTTTTCCGATATTTAAATTGGATGCAGCTCTCATAGTTATAATTAAAGATTTTGATATTCTTACTAAAAACTGGTGGGGAGGAATTTTGGCCTTATACGCAAGAAAAGCTAAAACCGTCTTTTTTGTTGCAGAAACACAACTTTCCTATCAACTATGGCATTCGACTCCAATCTGAGGAAATATTCAAACTCTCCAACATAAGCTGGATGGTATGCATTCAATCTTCTTCTTTTAAATGTATTGTCTTTCATATTTTGTAATTTATGACCTCTCTCAGTTGAGGTCTGGGCTTGTCAAAGGTCACACTATGTGACACCAGTCTGTTGTGAACTACAAATGAGCCATATGTCTGGTGGAACTATGCATACATTTCCTGTTTGTGTTGTGTTTGTTCACAGAGGGTAAATGTGGAGAGCTTAGATGAGCTGACTCTCCAAAGACTTTGGTTCCAAATCAATCAAGGCATCTTAAAAAAGGTATGAATTAAGAATGTACCAACCCGAGTATGTAAAAGAATTGGACTAAGCAGGGGTTGACGAGTTTGCCTTTTCCTGGAAAAAGCAGATCAGAGCTACCTCAAACAGGCTCCATGGGGTCTGGAGCCAAATTGAGGAGTAGCAACTACCCAGCAACCAAAGATCCATTCTCAAGCATTGGTCTTTGTCCGTTTGCGAGTATCCTAGTCAATGTAGCATTTGTGGATTAAAACTCTCAATTGGTCTGTTGTTAGGGCTCATATTGGTATTTAAAAAGACCTTATACATAAAACAATTACCAATACAACCACCAAGAAGAGAATACCTCCCAGATATTTGTGTCTCCTCTGTCTGGTTGCCTTTCCCATTGTCTTAAAAGTCTACTCTTGAGAAAAACAGAGTGGTGATAAAAGATTGTAGGAATAGGCCATCCCGTGTTGTGTGCAATTCTTCTGCTTTGCATATTCCGCTGGCCTCTGGTCAACTATGACATTGTTTTATGCCATACTTAATCTACAAATCCTGTGAGCAGTTTGGTAAAACATTGATAAGAAAGACTTTTCCTGGGTCAATCAATTCAATTCCTAGTACAGTCTCCTGGAGCTAGCGGAGTAAGCATGGTCCAGATCCATACTATGGATCTGGACCATGCTTAGTCCAGATCTACTGAGATTTGTAGTTCAATAAACAATTTATTCCTGAAATGTACTGGCAACGGAAACAAATATTCATGAACTTGTGTTTTGACAAAATAATTGCAGCTTATTCGAGTTATGCCTGAGAGACACCCATCTCGACGCTACACTGCAGAGTTAGAGACACGCTTCAAAGATGCAGAAGGTGTCTTCGTCCAAGCGTATCCTGCTGAGGTAGGCCACCTGTATAAGGGCCACATACATCATTTTACAGATCACACACACATATTATTCACAGATTATATATAGATTTCTAAACTTCATTTTTTTTTTTTTAAAGGTCCATAACAACATAGTATAGTATAGTATAGTCAAGTATACAATTCTACATACAGTATATACTTAATAAACGCACTCAATAAACCTATATCTAATTACCACATTGTTCACAAACGTGTCAAAATATGGTTAGTATGTCATTGTTGAGACGATCCATCTCATTTACCACAGATGTGGCATATCAAGATGCAATATCTTAGCGGCATCAGGATGGGTCAAATGCAGAGGACCAATTTCCTTGTGAGGACAATAAAGTGCAGATTTACATTTACAAATGCACATTCAAAAGTGTTAAACTTTTAGGCTGACTCCATGAACAATGGGTGCATTTAAATTTTCACTCAATGCACTAATGAAGACTAAGGAACAATAATATACACTCAACCTAAACATTTAAAACTCTGTATAAATGCTCAATGACCTGTCTTTAACACATAATGTTCTCAAATCTGTCAATCTATCTGTCCCATCTCACCTAAAACAACTTTCCGACCTCTTTTCAAGCTTCTAACCCAGACCTCTCCCCTATCTCCTTGACTACAATACAAAGTAACCAGATGATTACATATTAAATAAACGGTTAGTAACATGGAATGTATGTGGCATGGGTCATTTTTCATTTACTTTTCATTTCGTACATGCCAAGTTACAAGACTTTGTAGCCATTTCTGCATTCCTGGTCGCTGATATTTAAAAAAATGTTTTTTGATAATGCGTGTGAGAAGCCTATAGTGACAACTATACGAGTTACGTCGGCTACAGAGCCAATGGAATTGTTTGTATTTGAACGCTTTTAGGCCTTTAAACTGGTAACTTGTTGGAAACGAGCATTTCATTTGCTGTTAATATGAACACACACACACACAGGCACACATGCACACTGTAAGTGAATAATGTTTGGTTCTACAAGTGTATAACTCAAATGTATGTTTATGTGCAGGTGTTCCAGCGGGAGCTTCCAGAATCGGTCCAAGACATTTGGGATCAGTTAACCGAGGAGCCAGAAAAGGTGTCCAGCTGGAGATATGCCACTCCTAAGTCCCTCATGGACAACCTGTGCCACACTATGCATTGTCTCTTCAGCCAATGCTTTACAACGCAAGCACAGCATGACTGTGAGTAGGACATGCAGCTGTCCTAATAATACTAAGGTGTGCAATAAAAACAATCATATTCCATGTATAATACAGTGATGTGGCCAAGAGACAGTGGTACATCATTTTGACGTCAACGTTTCATGTACAATTCCTGCAGGCACACCACCTACAGGTCTCTATGGCGATGTAGCTGGTAATTTGTCAACAAGATAACAGATGATGGGAATTTGGGAAATACTTTGTTACTTCACTCTTGTTTTGTTTCTGTTCACACACACCACTATTGAATCATTCAACATCGCGCTATAACTCATATGAGAAGAGATCCGCTGAGAGCCGAGCTCCCAAGTGAGCATACACTGCGGAGGTCCTTTCATCCACTCACACTGGTGAAAGGAAAAACTCTATGAACAACACACACACATAATCTCTGCAAACAGACCAGAATAGTTTGCAATTGACCTTTTCCATCATGTATTTGTATGTATTTGTTTTGAACAACTGTACCTAAGTGAGGGACAAGTGTACACAATCAACATTTGAAACACTCTACATCAACATTTGTAGTTTTTTACATCATTTAAACAGACTTGTCTTAATATAAGAAATTGCCTCGATTCTGGTTTAAAACCAGCCGAGAACCTTTAAGTCATTCATATAAATCCATAATAAATCAGCGCTTTAGTTGCATGCTGAGTTGCATTAACTTGCAGGTCTCTTTGCGATCAGAAGCAAAGGCCTCAACACTAGAACTCAATCAATCAATTAATCAGCTTTTATTTGTAGACCACCTTCTTTATACAAGGCAACACAAAGCGCCTCACAACCCATATCACATACATAAATGCATAAATCATTCATATGAGGCCACTTCATCTTTTACTTGTAGGCAGATTTAAGAAAAGAAAAAAAAGCAGGAATAGGCTGCTCATCATTAAAAAATAAAGTTTTCCCTTATTTTCAAAGATCCTCAAGATCTTTTGAGGTACATGTAACCTTAGTGTAGTTAATGTATTAAGAGTGGTAAAGTTGAATTACTTTTGTTTTGTTCCCCTTAGAATCATATTAGATCTTGAAATCTATTTTGAACAATGTCAATAAAAAGCCTGAAGGTAAAACAAAGTAAGAAAGGGAGGAGGCTTTTGTATAAATTCCGATGCAGGCAGAGTTTCTGCGCGGCGTTGTCTTGGGACTCTCGGGGCAACCTGACCAGTAGCAGCTTGGATCTTGGAGTAAGCAAATGTTGGGATAATCGAGACCATTCAATTCAATTTATTTTTGTATAAAAATAAAGCCCAAATGTAGTCGTTTCCAAAGACGTCTCCCAAGTTTGCCAACAACAGATCAGAGAATCATAGGAGCCAGTGGTCCATAGGGGGCAGATGACCAATGTTCATTAATGTTAAAACATGTCCTTAATGCCCTGGATCATCATCACTGTCCTTAGACTCTTTGAGCAACGCATAGCCTTGGTTTTTTAAACAGCTCTGTTTAATTTTCAAATCCAATATAAATCTCAGCGGCAACTATAGCCAGTTTACCCCCAGTGGCAAATTAGATCTTTTTTGTTCAAAAATGTAGTTATCCTGGGATGAAAGAATAAAGACCCCTGTGGCCATCAGGTCTGTGGAAGGCCAGCCCCAAACACAGCAATAAAATATCTTTAATGCCAATGCCTGTTAGTTCAGATCTGACTAAGCAGTATTCTAATGGATATTTTCTTATTGCTTATATATTTTTTGTTGCACACAGTTTGTGGGTTATAGTCTTAAGAACAGCAGGTAGCCTGCATGTGGGTTAAATAAACCAACCATACATATTTGGTTTGTTAATTAACCCTTTTCTCCAGATTGTGGCACAACCCATTGGAGGAAAGGCAGGAAGAACAAGAAAATGCAACTAGAAGCTGGGAAGAAACCATGGAGGTGACTTTGTTCATGGGATTTTCTTTCAGCATATCTTGCTCGCAAAAAAGGACTGCATCTGAAGGACAATTCAAACTGGCAGCGCCAGTCCTGCCTTATGGACGTTTGTGCAATGAAGATGACGAATATATTTATATGCATACATTTGGGAACAGGCAGATACATTTGATTTTGTCATTACTTCATATCATTTTAAAGAGGAATACAATGTTGTGACTGACATACATTTGTTCATGTACAAGTGTATATTATATTATTGTTGGTGTTAAAAGAAGGAACAGCTTGAGCTGATCCAGCTCCTCGAATCTGCAGTCAGGATAAGATCACTGTGGACGCACCAAACCTGCAGCTAACGGCCCACATGGATGTGCCCCTGACTTTATCCTATCAGGAAATATTATGAATGTAGTGAGCGACCCCCATAAACAACACATGGATCAAAGTCAAAGATAGAAACTGCTGTTGAAGAAGCTGATGTGGATTGACACCTGTAAAACTAATGCAAGGAGTTATAAAAACATTTAAATTAACGCAGAGAGGGACAAGTTGGAACTATGTACCATGACAGCTGTAAACCACATCAAAATTACAGGTTTAAGTTTCTTTAGTCACTGATAATTAAAGTATATTTTTTAAGTATTGAATTAGAAGGAACTGAAAATGGCGATGATTAATTTCTAAAATTCTAACCCTGTCACATGAACAAAGGTTGATGGATGTTATGCTCTATTTATTTTACAGACACACGTAGAAGTACAGTCTTTGGAGAAATAAACAGTGCTATTACCTTTTGTTTGCTCACAACCTCACGACATGGACATTCAGTTTGTGCATTTGTATCAAGTGTAACTAAACCTAGCCTCAACTGCCTCAAAAACTCAAAAACAATATGGATCCTGTGACTTACCCAAGAATGCTCATGGCGTTACATCATCATCAGAAGCCAACAATATCAGTAAATCAAATTAAAACAGAAAATCCCAATAAAATATTTTTGAAATTGGACTAGCATTTTTTGTGGGGGCTGTTGGATTGGTTTGAAAGTTAGTGAATGTATTTATTATAATACTGTATCATTCTAATTATAATGTGTATATAAAAATGATTGTTGAAATAACTTATGAAATGAAAAAAATAAAATTGCAATGCAATAGACTTTCAGTCTCTTTCTGTATGTAGACATGCATGTGTTTATGATATTTGTTACAATAATAATTCCAAATCAAGGCGCAAGTGGCAATTAAAGCCCTCGCTCCCCAAATCGACCGCCTCCGAGGCACCAGTCCTGGGCTGGGATGAAACCATTAACAGTCTTCTCGATCTGCCTCTGTCTCCATTCATTGCAGAGTTGCGTTTTTCAGCCGAAGTCAACTCATCAGTGGGAAAGTCCTTTAAACTTGAAAGAAAGAAACAAGTCAAAACCAAAAAAGAGCTTAGTATAACAATTGGGTCTTTCTAGACCTTAGATGTGTCTAGGTTTGGAATGACAAGTTAAAAGTCAATGCAATGGAAAAACCTGAATTTTCGATACTCCCGACCAGAGTCAGACAAAGTTCTCGTGACTAGTCTTGTGAAGAATCATGCGTAGAACTAGAAGCCAGGCAGCAATGAAGCTAAAGACATGACTGACACAAGAGGAATTTCCACAGTTGCAGACAGTGAGGCTAAAGGCCTCAGAATACTTCTCCAACGCTCAGCCACTTTGTGTCTGCGTAGCAGTGAGAGCCCTGGGACCAGCATACTTCAGCCCCTGGGTCGCAGCAAGGCAAATGCAATGTTCTCATATCATGACGCCTGTGTCCCGAAACAGTGGGACTTTGTTTGCTTTTTATGCTTCCAAGAGACAAGATAAGATAGACTTTATTGTATCTCACACAGGAGAAATTTACATGTCACATCTGCATGGATAGAATCACTCAAGAAGAAAAAAAAAATGTGCAAAGAAAGAAGTGTGCAAACATGTTAAATGCAGGATATATTATGTACAATAAAAGTGGCAATTAAGAAACAGTAGCAATAGCAGTGCAGGTTTGTTGGTTTTTTCCAGTCCTAGTGCAAGTGAGTTAAGGCTGCGGTCACATGCTCAGCCTAAAGCCCAGTTAAAGTGTGCCAGGGCCCGCTTCGCGATTAGATCCGGGCTTTAGGTGCCATCTGACCGCGGCAAACTTCGGCCAGGGCCCGCTTCCCATCACGGATTAGGGGGGTCAGTGTGGCGGGTGGTGGGGAGTGGGGGATTAGGTGTGGTGGGGACTTGATATTGTGCGTCACATTACGTCTTCCTGTGACACGCATTTTCACACAAGTCTCTCCCTGCACTTTTGTATTTTCCGCTTGTGTTAAACCTTTCATATAAGCCCCGGACCGTGCTCGAAGGGCGCTGGGGAGTGTGTCGCTCCAGAGCCAAAGAAAGGCGTTTCCTATGGGTATAGCTCTCTTCTGTCCTGACCGTTATTATTATAGATCCATGGTCCTGACCCTCGCTCTCAGTGTGGTGCTATTGCAATGGGCTCTATGCACGCACCACTTCCGCGTTTTAGCTACAACCCCACTTCACTTCCTGTCCGCGGGAAACGGCATGAGTTTCACTGGAGTTCAGCAGTGGTTTACACGAGTTTCCCAAATAATGCTCAAACGGGAATTAAACTGTGAGGATACTGGGCATTTTTGGGACACAGCAGGGCTTTTTGATTGTGCTGTCATTGTGTTTTTATAAAGTTTACAAATCGCACTGCGTGGCCACAGTCAAAGCTCTACCTCAGAGAGAAAGCACAGCGACACTTTTGGGTCAGTCTCACAGCTGAATGTATCAATCTCATTACTAAAAAACGTCACTAAAACCCACCTGAAAGCCATAGGATAGCATAAACAGGAAGTGAACGGGCTGTTCTTTGTTAACAGGAAATGACGTCACGCCTCCCTGTGCATATACTGTAGCCCGGTCAGCACTAGATTATATACGGAATCTAGACGGAAGCGGAAGTAAAAATAACAAACTACCTATTAATACCTAAACTTAACCAGCCATTCCCATAAAATAAACCCCAACCCACCCTTAAACCTAAACTTAACCATCTTACTCAGACGCCTAAAACTTAACCAGTCACCACTTAAGGACTTTTTAGTCTAAAACTAATTCGAAAGTAGGATTGTTACTTCCGGTTTCGTCCCGATATATGTCCGTATATGATCTAGTGCCGACCCATATAGCCCATAACACTTCAGACATTCAAGAATCAGTCACCAGAACACACACACACTTGTAAACTCCCTGTCTGCGGTCGTTCTGCTCGTACTCCACACTTTTCATTCCTTCATTCTCATTAATTCATTTCTCAGCGCTCTTACGCTCGTTGCTAAAGAGTGTGTGTGTACACTCGTGTCTGCGGCGCGCACACACACACAAACACACGTTGGTAACGTTACCTACACGTTACCCACTGAACTGCTGCACTTTGCATCAGAGCAATTTGGACAAATGTGAGATGTATCTTTCGCTAAACATCGCGATCCGTACTGAGCTGTTAGCTACTGTAGCTGTAGCTGTTAGCTGTTAGCTACAGTAGCAGAATGTAAACAGGAAAAGAAGCGGATCTCCACCAGGGCCACGAGGTAGTCTCTGGTGTTAGTATTAGACCGAGTGTACTACAGCACAATTTCCCTGGCATGGTTCAGACAATACGTTCATGTGACCGCGGGCCGTTTTCACACCCCTGTGGCGACGATCCGGGCCACTTGGCCTAGTTCGTTTGTAAAAACCTATGTGACCGTGCCGTAAGTGACTTTTAGTGACTTTGTCGACTGGTGTGAGCGCAACCACTTGTGCTTGAACACCAGTAAGACCAAAGAGATGGTGATCGATTTCAGGAGGAAACCACTTTCCCACACGCCGCTGAACATCTAGGCCCTAGATTCTAGGGGGAGGACATTGAGCTGGTGGACAGCTTCAAGTACCTGGGTGTTCACATTAACAATAAACTGGACTGGTCCCATAATACCTACGCCCTGCACAAGAAGGGCCAAAGTCGCCTCTTCCTTCTGAGGAGGCTGAGGTCCTTCGGAGTGAGCAGGCCTCTGCTCAGGACTTTTTATGACTCTCTGGTAGCTTCTGCCATTTACTACGCTGCCGTGTGCTGGCCCCGGGCAGCACAGAGCGGGACAGAAACAGACTGAACAAGCTGGTCAGGAGGGCCAGCTCCACTCTGGGCTGCTCCCTGGACTCTGTGGAGGAGGTGAGGGACAGGAGGTGCTCGTCAAAGCCACCTCCATCATGAACAATACCTCCCACCCACTGCACAGGACTGTAGAGGAGCTGAGGAGCTCCTTCAGTGGAAGACTGAGACACCCTCAGTGTAGGAAGGAGCGCTACCGCAGGGCCTTTATCCCTACCACTGTCAGACTGTACAATAAGTCACATTAAGCCGGTATCTTGGCGTGCGCTATTTTAGGAACCAGGATCACACAGGAGGTCTTCCACAGGACAGGGTACAAATTCTCCCCCCACACCTGCATTACTGTTTCCAATTTGATAGACATCCATGGCAATATTTTAAGTTATGATAATTTTCTCTCAAAGTTCCAGTTTCCCATCATGTACAAACAATAGAAAGCTATCACACAATGCATCCCTGATGGATTATTACACTTAATGAGAGCATCACAACTCACTCCAACCATAATGACCACAAAGCTTTTTCTCAATGGACTGGACTTCACAAATGCCAAATGCAACAATAAACATATTCGGCAAACATTCCAAAACACAAACCGCATTCAACCCAGAGGAATTTTTTTTTTGGAACTCCACCTTCTGCAATATAAACTGGCATAAAACATGTTTATTACACTTTCAATTCCCTCTCAATAACAATATACGAGAAACGAATCTCAAAATCCTACACAATATTTACCCCACAAACTCTGAAGTATCAAAATTCATGAACATAAATCCAAACTGCTCCTTTTGCAACACAGTACCAGAACTTATTCAACATTTATTCTACTCATGCCCACTCATCACACCTTTCTGGCAAGCTATAAGTCAATTTCTATCCCAAAAACTAAATACCTCCATAACTATCTGTGACAGAAACCTTTATCACCCATTTTCCCCACCAAAACAATAAAATTGAAATAATTACAAACATATTCATATTATTTGGCAAACACCACATACATAGAAGCAAGTACAACAAAACCAAACCATCCTTCCAAGCAGTCAACTCTGAAATCAACAATTACATTAAATCTATAACCCTTATAAACAGCAAAAAACCAACTCCGCAGTCAAATTATTCGACATCAACCATAAAAACTCATGTCTCCCTATATTCTGACGTTCAATATTTATTCTCTTTCTCTGTAATATCAGTCATTAAAGTCAAAACTTCATATAATACTTTATTTCTTAACATAACCATTATAAAAAATAAAATAAAAAATATAAAAAAATAACACATTACACTACACTAATGTTTTCAGTGTATTCCTCTGTGATGTACGATCGTTACGATGGTCTATGGTTACGATTGTGTAATTATTATTATTATTATTATTATTATTTTACGATTATGTGATTAGCCTTTACGCCACAGACTGTTTTTACGCACCATACGCACATGCTGCGTACTTCCCCCGGAAGTGAACGGTGACAGTTTGTTCCGAAAGCCTTGGAGCAAAAGGACAAACCTGGCACAGACTTGGGACAGACCTGGGACAGACCTGAGACAGACCCGGTTGCAGCGATGTCGTCCAGCGGAGGAATAGAAATACCAAGTCGTCTCCCGCTGCTTCTGACCCACGAAGGAGTCCTGCTGCCGGGCTCCTCTGTCAGGTTCAGCGTGTATTCTCCGAGAAATATGCAGTTGGTGAAGCACCGTCTTTTAAAGGGAACTTCTCTGAAAAGCACGATTATTGGAGTAGTTCCTGGCACTAAAGACCCAGACTCTGAGATAGCCGACTTACCTTCTCTTCACAAGTATGCATTCACGCATTCTCAGTTGATTTTTAAATGAGTAAATATTGGGTGTTGTTGCAGAAGTAAAATGTTGTGAACAAATCTGAACACAACATGCTGGTCTTCAAACCCACCTGTTCAAAACTGCCTACAATTTATTTGATCTTTTTATTCTGTGCAGAATAAGTACGATGTAGTTTTGTTATTATTATTATCGTTTTATTATGTTATTATAAAGCATGTTTTCGTTTATTTATGTATTTATCAGTTTATTTAGAAAGGACATAACAAAGAACATTGTTACATTATAACAGATGCCATGTCCATAGGTCATCTAGTCAAAGGCTAATTTGCAGACCTGGTCCCTAGCACTGACAACAACAGTGTACATACAAGTATTTATTATGCATACTTGAAGTTAGTGTTGGGATCCTCTATTTTCTCTTTTCTGCCTGAAAAAGCTCACTTCACAAACTAAATAATTAATGCATGTGAAAACTAGTATTATACTAGTATTTTTGGTTGAATCTGGAAACGTTTGTATGACAGACCGTGTGTGATTGTATGACTACTTTGGAAAAGGGACATATTTTAAACAAATTGTGAACTGTGTTCCTCAAAGATTAATATTTATCTCATCAAAACATGACAAACCGGGGAGAGAGCTGTGGACTTTACCCTGGCATTGACATGTTGCAGACAAGTTCAGGTTTCAACCAACAAACTGAACAAAAAATCATGAGAGTATTATCAGCGGCACAATCAGCTTTGGTAAACAATTTTTTTATGTTCTTTGATAAAACGTATGATGCATTTTAATATTGAATAACTGACATTCAATATACATTTTTGAGACTAATAGAATTGTCTGTGAAACACTAGTTATACAGTATCTGGCATAGCATGACCATAGACTGTATATATTATTATTACTAGTGTATATAGCATGACAGTAAACCACACATGTAGAAGCAAAATCCTCCAATATGAATTTAGAAGCATGGATTACCACAATGCATTTTCAATTAATTCACTGAGATATATGGCTAAGTACTACAAATTAATGATTTGAAAGGACAATGTATAGACATTAGGCTCAAAGATATGTGCTTCACCTGATCTAAATAAAATATGCAATAACATGCACTCAAATTACAACCATAGATGTATACGAGAGCATGGAAGTTTAGATCAGTCAGAAAATAATCCTCTTGTACACTGACTAACAGGTTTCTACAACACTTCTAATCAATATCATAATCTTTGTTAATGGACACAATAGCACCGGGAGAATTTGCCATAATTTCTTTAAAGCATCAAACCAATTCATGTCTAAAATGTAAGGATTTTAAAGTACAGACTTTTTTGAGTTTTTGAAACAAAATGCAGGGAATAGGTACCAGCAAGCAACACATATGTTATGACGGTTAAAATGTTCGGTTAGCATGTTTTTATTTCTTAAATACTGAATAGGAAAACTCAAATATAACACAAATCTTACTCTATAGTCAAATCTGCAGACCTTGTAATTTGACTACCTTGTATTCTTCTCCAGTGCCTGATTGTTATCAAACTATATCATAATTCTTGATTTTTGTGTCTAGGGTTGGCACTGCAGGTATAGCAGTACAGGTTGTGGGTAGTAACTGGCCAAAGCCCCACTACACCCTTCTCATCACCGGATTATGCCGTTTTAGTATTTCTAGTGTGCTTAAGGACCGACCTTTTGTGCTAGCAGAGGTATTTTTTTTCTACTTATGGAAAAAAGGAACTACATAAATAAAAATGAAATATGTTGGTAAATGCATTTGTAACATGTCCAGGTGGAGCAGTTAGACAGACTGGAGCAGTTCACCAGCGCTGTATCCGAGAGTGTGACCGGAGAAGAGGAAGAGCTCAGAGAGTTGTCCCACAAGTTCCATCAGTCGGCTATTCAGGTATTCTTTTCTGTATTCACATGCTCAGTCAAAAATATGTAAAGTGGTTGGGTACGGTTTTATTATGTTAAGTTATGGATACTTTATCAATACCAGCCTCTTGGTGCCGGTTCCCTTAATGGCTCTTTTTTCGGGTCCTAAAAATAAATATTACCAGGAACCTGCAGAGTGTGCTGCTGTGGGATGGTACACCCCTTTGAGCCACATATTGGGGATTTATTTTCCTTTATTGGTCTAAATATTATTTAGCAAAAAGATATATTAAGTGTTATAAAGTATGAATAAATGGACACATGAACATACTTACTTACACTCCTGCGCGCGCCCTGAGGTCCGAGAGCCAGCTCCAGCTCGTGGTCCCTAACGCGAGACTTAAAACCCGGGGGGACAGAGCCTTCTCTGTGGTCGGTAGTGATGGCAATATGAAGCCCCATGAAGCCTTGAGGGATCGCAGCCTATTACTCGGCCCATGAGTCGAAGGCTCGAGGTGAATCATGCTCCACTACGCCATCATGTGGACAAAAAAATACATAACACTCTTAAGTGCTTACAATGAATGGTGAGATCTAATGTTAAAATGTATATTTACAATCTATGGTCTAACGTGTTGTGTTTGAAATGATGCTTCATGAACTATGAACTATTTGAGTCTTTCAGTCAACTTGAAGCCTTGATATATGAGGTTTTACTAAAGTGAAACGTTTTTAATTGTATTTCATATGAAGTAGTTTCTCTATACTTAGTACAGGACTGCTCCACATCACGCACACACACGTACGCACACAGAGGCAGACGGGGACAGCCATACAGTCTATGGTACAGCCGCGGATCACAAAGCACCTGTCAAAGCAATGCACTCTCCGAACTATATGAAGCACTATATGAACCGTCACGTGGTGCGGCCGCTACGCGAGGCTTCGAACGTCACCACATACGTCACCAACACACGCCTCGAACCACGCTTCAAAAAATACGCCCCTTTTTTACTCGGTACACGCTTCGAAGACCCGGCACGCTCAGCACATCACTAGTGGTCGGCCCTAAGCTCTGGAACGCTCTTCCCCTCCATGTCCGGACGGCCCCCACAGTAGAGTGTTTTAAGTCTCGTCTTAAGACCCACTTTTACTCTTTGGCTTTTAACACTGTGTGAGTTTGTGGTCCTCTGTGTTTTTCTTTTATTTCTATTCATGGTTTTAATCTGTTTTATATATTTTTATTCTTTTATACTTGGTGAAGCTAAGGATAAGTTGTTATTTAGCTTACTTTTTTGTGCAGCACTTTGGAAACGTAACTGTTGTTTAAATGTGCTATATAAATAAAGTGGATTGGATTGGATTGGATGAACATAAGATGATTGTTGTGTTTACTGACCACTAATTAGCCTGTAGTAGGCCTAAAGACATTAATAATTTCTCCTGTCACCATTTTATATTAAATTTTAGCGGTCAAATTAGCATTTTGCTGATGTCTTGAGAATATTGGCAGATCCTGATACATACTGGACATGGTGCAACAGCTAGTTGCCTAAAGAAAACCTGAGAGCAAAGATGTTTGTGCCTAAAGTACAAGAGTCCTTATAAATAAAATATACAGATTATGGCAAGTCTATATTTGGTGTGAAAAAATGTCCAGATTGTGGCAATGACTTTAGTACATAACATCTGAGATCTGGTCAGGTTTTGACTTGCATACATGACATTGGATTCACGCAAATTCACAATTGTCAAATTTGCATACATTAATATACATTGTGACCATTCACAGCAAAGATCTGGCCAGAGATATGTATGTTTCATGTATCATGAACCATTCTTATGTCTGGCCTGTTGCACAAATAAGAATGGAAGAACATTTCAAAATGTCAAGAACAATCAGTAAGTAGAAATAGGCACCATTTGTTTTCAATACTTCCCAGTGAATTGTGATGGATTGTAACACCACAGCAGGCAGTGATTGATGGAAACTGATCTGAGTGTGTGTGCGTGCATGTGTGCAGTTGTTAGGTATGTTGGATATGACAGTTCCTGTGGTTGCCAAGTTTAGGCGTCTTCTGGACAGTCTGCCCAAGGAAGCGCTTCCAGATGTGGTAACATCTATGATTCACACTTCAAACAAGGAAAAACTACAGGTAAAACTCCTAATTTCTTTGAACATATGTGTTGAAAAATGGATCAAGCACCTTATTTTTCTTCTCTTTCTGCAGGTTTTGGAGGCAGTGACATTAGAAGAAAGGTTCAAAATGGCTTTGCCAATGCTAACCCGACAAATTGAAGCTCTCAAGCTTCTTCAGAAAACCAGAAAGAGTAATACTGACCTTGAAAAGAGGGTTAGTTACCTAATAAATTCTAGCTAATCTGTTTCTAGAAGTTCTGAATGAAAATAGTGCCTAACATGATGTTTTGTTCAGGTGTTTTCGGTGCATAAAGGGCTCCCTGGACGCCAGTTCAATGTGGATGAGGAGAATGATGATGGTGATGATACCACAGCACTGGAGAGGAAGATCTATGGAGCCAACATGACTGAGGCAGCACTGAAAGTCTGCATCAAAGAGCTGAAGAGGTCTCTAATAGAAACATTATTTGTTATTCATTTTCATATTGTATCGCCTATTTATTACTATGTACAATTCTTATATTGTATTGTGTGTATTTCCAGGCTTAAAAAGATGCCCCCGTCAATGCCCGAATATGCACTCACAAGGAATTACTTGGACTTAATGATTGAGTTACCATGGAGTAAAAACAGCACAGGTAAGATTTAAAAAAAACTCATTTAACTTTATTTTGCTAAGACAAGAAAACCAAGGACTCTGCAGACCATGAGATTCTCTAAATGCCCACCAATAGAAATGGTTTTAATATTTGTTTTACTCTGCAACTTTCAGATTGCCTGGACATAGGAGCTGCTCGCACTCTTCTGGACAATGACCATTATGCCATGGACAAGCTGAAGAGGCGAGTGCTGGAGTATCTCGCCGTCCGACAGCTGAAGAGCTCACTAAAGGTCCTGGAGACACGCCCCATTTATTATGCAGAGTTTATCTTACATAACATGAAAACTTTTTGGATGCAGGGTCCTATTTTGTGTTTTGTGGGCCCGCCGGGTGTTGGTAAGACAAGTGTGGGACGATCAATAGCTCGGACCCTGGGCAGGGAGTTTCACCGCATCTCTCTGGGAGGAGTCTGTGACCAATCAGACATCAGAGGACATAGGTTAGTATGAGTTAGCGTCAGAACGAGAAATCTTTATATTCAAACATTGGAAAAATGCAGTTTTTTACATTCTTGATTTTTTTTTTCACCATGATAATCACTATCTTTGAATAGATCGTCCGCATGGGGAACAAAAATGCCTGAAAAGTATGAATACAACAGTATGTGAGGTAGACATTCTCTCCAACCACTTTAGATCTAGACAGAAAAGAAATGACAGCAGTTACCAGTTCCAATCCATAAAAATATCCTGGATCCAGATGGAGATCCGGATCATCTCCAAAATCTAATTATTTGTTTCTTGTCACAAGTTGAAAGCCTGAAAATGTCATAAAAATCAACCCATATTGTTTTGAGTTAAGTCACTATCTGACAGACGGACAGATGCTGGTGAAAACATTATAACCTGGTGGAGCTATTTATTAAGTTCACCTTGATGATTTTTCATTCCACAAATGACTATTGTAATGTTTTTTTATGGGGTTAGTAGATCTCAAAGAAAACATATTTTCACTTTCCAGACTGAAGATAATTCTAAGAAATTGCCTGTTAAGACTAATGGGTAACCTGATTACTACCTCAGAGGTTGTAATGTAATTTGTTGTTCTCATAAACTCTTCAAACTGTTTTTGGAGGGAAATATACTTTTCAGGAAAAAACAATTAACTGCTTCCTCATTTTCCTCCTCATTTATGACTAATGCATCTCAATAGTTTGTGGTCCCTTTAAAGGGAATGTGTGCATTTCTTGTGTGACGAGCCTAAGAGGTAAATGGAGCTCTCGACTGGGACTAATCTGATAAGCTTCAAAAGACGGCACATCTGATGCCTGATGAGAACCATGTGTTCAAAATAACAACTGCAGAAGACCAAACTACATAGAAGCTGATTAAACAGCTCATTCTTAAATTTGTTAGCCATGAATCAAATTATGAGTGAGATTTGAAATCAGGATTTTCCCTCCCTTTATTTTCTTTGATCCTTGGAGTCTGCAGAAGGCATACCTCCATGCTTCTGTGCAATAACTTGTCTTGGATATCTTTGTTGTCCACATTTGTTTCACATTTGTATTTTATTGTTAATACGTTGCGTAGATCTTGAGCTGTCATTCCTGACAGGTGCATGGCCAGTATAAAGAACAATATGACGAGGTTCATGTTGATATGTTTATGTTGATGCTGTTTTTCTGCCATACTTGGGAATTTGCTTGTTTTATTCATAGTAACTCGTTCTTTGTCTTCACTTTCCATATCTCCAGACGAACATATGTGGGCAGCATGCCAGGTCGAATTATCAATGGGCTGAAGACCGTGAGAGTGAATAATCCCGTGTTCCTTCTGGATGAAGTGGATAAACTTGCAAAGAGTCTTCAGGGGGACCCTGCTGCTGCTCTCTTAGAGGTCTGCATTTTTCAGGAATTAATTGTCAACTAATTCTCATTCTGGAAAAACTCAACTTGAGGCACATCTATACGTTGGAATTGTTTTGGATCTCAACAGGGCATTGATGGAGCACAGAGCAGGATTTGAAATACAAGGCCTCTCCCTGGAGACTTGATTTCAGTGTTGGGTAAAAATGTGAAAGGGTCTGGAAAAATAAACTGTTAAATGTTCTGCAGCCCTGGGGTAAGGGTTTGTGGCAAACATCAGCTATTTGATGTTTGTTGTCAAGTCAAAAAACCAACAACTAGATATTTAAAATAATTAAGAAAATGTTAGTACCAATTAAAAAATGAAATAAGACATTAATCTGTCTACCTCACTGGTGATCATCATGCTCTGCACCAATCATGCCTCCCCTTCTTCCGTGTTGTGCGTCTCTGGCTGTACAGACGTCGAGTCTGTTTTTGTTGCTGGTTAACAACTAACACTGTTTCTCTGTGATATTGGCAAAAGAGGAAGAAAAGCAAAAGTTGAAAACTGTTTTTGCTGTAGTCGAGAAGAGGTGAAAGACGGGAGAGGAAGAAATAAACATCGGCAAATAAAAGAGAACATCAAAATATAACCAAGGCAACCCCGTGGATGAAGAATTTTTTTAAACAAGTAAAAACAAACGTTTTTTTATGTTATGGAATTTCTATCTGCTTTATTGGAGATCAATGATAAGGCAACATCACGGAGGCCGCGATTCCTGATTAGTTGACAGTCAGGATTATCAAAACAATTGTCTTTTTCACTTTTTATTCCTCATTTTTACTTTCAAATGTTTTTATGGTCTTAATCCCCATAGGTTCTTGATCCAGAGCAGAACCACAGCTTCACAGACCATTACCTTAACGTGGCTTTTGACCTCTCACAAGTCCTCTTCATTGCCACTGCCAACACCACAGCCACAATTCCACCAGCGCTGCTTGATCGGATGGAGGTCTTGCAGGTACCAGGTGAGATCACATGGGCCCCTCCACTTCCTCTCTGAGTCAGGAATATCAGTGCTGCTTTCCTGGTTGAATAAGGAAAAAAACAAGAACCCAATCTCCAAAGCACACAAACTATCAGAACAGCACCAGAACAGAGCAGTAAACATTTCTCATAAAGGAATCTGGCACCAAACGATGAGATAAGCACAGGCTGTTTGTATCAAGCAGTGAACACAATAGTCCTGTCAAGGCTCCTGTATGAGGCCGACGGTGCAATGGTTAGATACTGCCTGGAGTCGACATCAGTCTGCCTTGAGGTCATGTGACTCCCAGAAATATCGTAAGAGTAGTCCGACTGCACTCATGGGAGCCAGGCGGTGAAGACATAAAATAACAGCTGTAGCAGTGGTCACCGTATTACGATGCACATGGACCCATCTCCAGACGTTGATGCCCGGCTTGCTCAGAGCTGGAGGATCATTGTTGCATTTTTAAGTAAATATCAAGTTAAAGAAGGACTCTGTTTGTGAAACTGCAAGAGTTTCCAAAATGCATTGTGAATAGTGCGTTTGTGAATGTTGCACTTCAGCCTCTGTCTCTCGTAGGATACACGCAGGAGGAAAAGATGGAGATTGCCCACAGGCACTTGATCCCAAAGCAGTTGGAGGAGCACGGACTAACTCCACAACAGTTAAATATCCCACAATGCACCACTCAAGACATTATCACCAGGTAATCACCACAGCGATGGTCCGACAGTTTTAACAGGACAGCTCAATACGTTTCTATATTTTAATATATACAGTCTATTATAGGGCCGATATTAGCATAAAAATGTAATATCTGTTCATATCGGTATCGGATTTTCTTTGCCTTAAAACCGATAAAATAATGCTTGCGTGTGCCTGTGCGCTCCTGAAGTGTTTACCGGTGTACAGATGATGACCTCATCAAGCTGCGTCTTGAAACGTACAAACAAGCCATGGACCTTTTAGAAACAAGCGCGTATGGCTGCAGTAATAAACGTACTTCTTATGTTGCTGAGACATTTGGCCTCTCTCTTCCAAGACGACAGAGCTACAACGCTTTAAATAGGACTTGAGAGGAGATGGTCACATCAGCGCTGAAATAAGTGCAGGTGTAAGACATGCATTTGGCCGAAAACTGGCTATTTATTTACTGATCCAGTTCTCAATATGAAAGGCCAACACCCCCCACGCTCCAGCGCGATCCCCACACAATAATGAAAATGAACATTCACTAACAACAGTGGTCCCTGTGATCAAAGTGCTCCGTGCTCTCAATATTTGAAAACAAAAAAGAGTCAGTGTCAGCGGTGAAGTTATGGGTCTACTCACGGCCCCCGCGCATGCACCACGGTCCACTACAGCCCAACCAAAACTTGTCCCGGAGCCTAGCAGCGACCATGGAGTATTATTCCACAGTCTCGTAAAATTCACAGTGGTAATCCAAAACGGACCCCCGACCCCATACTCCCGGGACCCCCGGGAGTACGGTCGGGGTCCTGCGAGGCCATCGTCCTGTGCCGAGCAAGCTGTTCGCATTGCGCAGTAAGTCCCGTGTTGGCCTCGACAGGGCCCTTTGTCACCGGTTCTGTTCACTGTATTTATGGACAGAATATCTAGGCGCAGCCAGGGGTCGGAGGGGGTCCGGTTCGGGGACCACAGAATTTCATCTCTGCTGTTTGCGGACGATGTTGTCCTGTTGGCTCCAACGAACCAGGACCTGCAGCATTCACTGGGACGGTTTGCAGCCGAGTGTGAAGCGGCTGGGATGAGAATCAGCACCTCCAAATCTGAGGCCATGGTGCTCGACCGGAAAAAGGTGCCCTGCCCTCTTCAGGTGGGTGGAGAGGTCCTTCCTCAAGTGGAGGAGTTCAAGTATCTCGGGGTCTTGTTCACGATTGAGGGAAGAATGGAGCGTGAGATTGACAGGCGGATCGGTGCAGCGTGCGCAGTGATGCAGTCGCTGTATCGGACCGTTGTGGTAAAGAGGGAGCTGAGCCGAAAGGCAAAGCTCTCGATTTACCGGTCAATCTTCGTTCCCTCCCTCACCTATGGTCATGAGCTTTGGGTAATGACCAAAAGAACGAGATCGCGGATACAAGCGGTCGAAATGAGTTTCCTCCGCAGAGTGGCTGGGCGCTCCCTTAGAGATAGGGTGAGGAGCTCAGTCACACGGGAGGAGCTCGGAGTAGAGCCGCTGCTTCTCCACGTCGAGAGGAACCAGTTGAGGTGGCTCGGGCATCTGTTCCGGATGCCTCCTGGACGCCTCCCTGGGGAGGTGTTCCGGGCACGTCCCACCGGGAGGAGGCCCCGCGGAAGACCTAGGACACGCTGGAGGGACTATGTCTCTCAGCTGGCCTGGGAACGCCTAGGGGTCCCCCCGGACGAGCTGGAGGAAGTGTGTGTGGATAGGGAAGTCTGGGCGTCTCTGCTTAGACTGCTGCCCCCGCGACCCGGCAACGGATAAAGCGGAAGAAAATGGATGGATGGATGGATGGTAATCCAAAACGAAATAACTCCAAAAGTGATAATAATCAGCGAAAAACGGGTCCTCCAGGTATAGCTGCTCCAATAGTTCCTCTGACGTCAGACCATGCGCGCCCCCGTGCCCGACATTCTTAACTAGAGTCCCGCAAAACGCCATCAATAGACAATTTTATAATACTAATTGACAACAAATTTAAATGACACAGAACAGACCTGGTACACGTGATGGTTGTAAAATAAAACATTTCACCCTCCTGAGGCAAGGCAAGTTTATTTGTATAGCCCAATTCATACACAAGGCAACTCAAAGTGCTGAATAAAATAAGAAAGCATTAAAATCATAAATAATCACAGTACATTAAAAAGATAGATAAAATATAAAATCCCTCAATTGTATGCACAGCTGAACAGAAATGTTTTTAACCTGGTTTTAAACATTGTCAGAGAGAGGAGGCCTGTCTCACATCTTCAGGAAGATTGTTCCAGATTTTAAGAGAACATATGGACCTATGTGGGCGTTACACTGTACAACAGCAGATATGTGATGTTACCTAAATTAGTTTTGAGGAATAATAACCCACATATCAACATTGGTATCGGTTGATATCGGAATCGAAAATTGAGAGTTGGACAATATCGGCATATCGGCAAAAAGCCAATATCGGACATCCCTACTTCTAACATTATAACAGAAGGGAATTCATAACATTTGAAAGCTCGAAATATCAAACAATATCTTAATAATTTTCCCAAACTTCTGAATTTTTTGCTAAAAAATCAATTAAAAACAATAAATGAATCACTCACAGGGCCCTTTCTAAATGCAAAAAACCAAACAAGACTCCTGTGGTTTGTTCCGTTTGATTAGTTCATTACATATCACTTCAAGGAACAACCAATACGAACTGTTAATGCAATGAAAATGTAGGTATCCCAGCTTTAATTCAGTTCAGTGGCGCTTAGATCCATGGAGTAGACACGGCACGTCTTGTGGCGCGCCGATGTCACACACTACCGGAAGTGCTAATACTTTTTTCCTGGTTGATGTTTGGACGTAACAGTGAAAAATGACACGAAAAAGTTCAGAAATGTCCGTGTCTGTGACTGCAAAATATGCATTGCACCCACCCTTGTTTTTTCCGAGCTTACTTGTCCAGTGAATGGGGCACTACTTAAGAGTAGACATAATGACACAGTATTTGCTGGTCTATGAAGTGTTTATCCATACACAGGCTGCACATGAGCGAATGTTCAAAGTGTTCCACGTCCCACATTGTAATTTCAAGATTGAGATTTACCGAGACAACAAATGTTTGAAGCTGCAATAGTTTAGGTTGTTGTCATTTGAGACTTACATATCCGAGCAAGCAAAAAAAAAAAAGGTATATAAAAAAAATAATGTAATTTAAACTACATGAAAAAATATATATTTTTCATAAAAATATTTCATAAAAACAACTGTCTTCTATTTTAGTAAATTGCGTTTAGACCAAGCGGTAATGCCCTGACGAAGACGCTTGGTCAAAACACATAGGCAGTCCAATTTTAATAAAGCACTTTTATAGTTTTACACTTTGACCTCAGAGTGCCTCAGACGTTTTTTTTTTGATTGTCAAGTCAAAGACACACACACACACACACACACACACACACACACACACGTAAATGTGAACTATACTTTGTTAAACCCCTGAGTTGCTGTAGTACTTACATGTTACTACCAGTGGGGGCGGGTCCTGGCTCAAAAGTGGCCGATGGGGGTGGACCATGGATCTATTATATTAACTGGATAGGGTATTACTAGCTTGGAGCTGAATAACTCATGTGCTCAGGGGATTCTCGCGGTACTGCAGACTAGACAAGACTAAATTCACGTGGGCTACCCAGAAATTTTCCCCATAGAACTCAATGCATATTAAAACAGCTCAACCTCAGCTGACAGAGAACCTACAGCTTTCATAAAGGTTGGATTTTGTGGGGATTTTAGTGTCCCTTGTCATCCTGAACTTTTTTTCTTCTTAAATCCTTCGGTTTTGTTTAAATCCACACTTTAGTGCCACAAACTCTGCTCGTCTGGCTCTCGCTCTAACTCCCGCTCTGATGAACTGCTCTGATTGGTCAGAGCGCAGCCGAGCCCCTCTGTGCACGTGCGTGAGACCCGGTGTGAGACCCACACACGCGTGTTTGGCGCAACGCATTATGGGAGATCATCCACTGCGCAGAACCGGGACGACCAGACAATGCCCAAATACAGGCGAGTTTCCCATAGATCTTTGCGAGTTTCCCAAAGTTCTTTGCGAGTTTCAGGCAACTTCCGCTAATCTTTTCAGCCCCCATGCCGTCACAAAGCGCCACTGAGCACAACCATTCATTTGAATAGGGCGCCATCTTGGATCGCCGGGGCTTGGGGTGGACCTGGCATAAGAATTAGCCAATGCTAACATATAGCATTAGCTGACCTCTCGAAAACACCTTTACAGGATGGTCCAAAAGTCTGGTCTTGGCCCAAAGCTCCGTTCCACATGTGTGTCAATGGCAAGAGCTCTGGTGTGTGTCGTCTTCTCTGTCTGGTGCACACCGGGGTAGTCTTGCACAGTTTTTCCAATGTGGTTTTACTGCAAATGGCAAATAAATGAATCTGAATCTGAATCTGAATGCTGAGGGGAGTTAATTTTTTTGGACCACTCTAGTTTGCCCGCTGTGAATTTTTGAAGTCACTCGTTTAAATGAATGAAGCTCTCGCCGGCTGACGCATGCGCAGATGCGTTTTTTTCACATTTTCCAGCCCCCGCTGCCATTTTGAATCACTCCATGAGAGCCCAATTTTTTGCCCATTAGTTAGAACTGCGGAGATAGGTGTGACTACGTCTGTTAATGTATACAGTCTATGGTTACTACGAGATGACATTATGTTTAGATTTGGTTCAAATGCTTTGTTGTTTCATGAGGCCTCGCTGAACACGCCCATCACAATCCCCTGATCCTTGATTTGGCGGTATAAATTAAGATTCTTTATTGAGTGGTGATCTCTCTCCCCATTGGTTTAACTATTTTAATTTGCCAAATCTCACTGGTGGTGGTAATGCCAAGAGGAGTGAGCACACTTTAACACTCAGTCCGCTTAAAGGAGATCAAATCTTCTCGTTATGCTCTTTCACTATACGAGTTATCCCAACCACATTTGAACATCTAAACATTGTTTTGCTTACACTGGAATTGAATTTCCTTTAATTTTGTATTTGAAATGTTTTTATTTGGTGGCTCACAAAAACGATTCTGTCCCTGGAGTCTTGAGAGTGATTTTAACATTATCGTTATTATTATTATTTGATTTAGTATTATTAGTAATAACTCCATTAAATGATATTATATCCATGTTCTAGTGGCTGTCTATTCTTTACATGAGCATGGTTTGACAGATAGCTCTTCTATTGTCTGTGTGTGGTTTCAGATACACTCGTGAAGCAGGAGTGCGTTCTCTGGAGAGAAAGATCGGGACAGTGTGCCGTGCTGTGGCTGTGAAGGTGGCAGAGGGTCAAAATATCACTAACCCTGAGGGTCTGACCTCTGAATGCCAGGGTCAGCAGGCGGGTGAGAGGAGGCCATTTATTATGTCTATCTCTGGAACTGAACTGCTCTCTCAGAAATGTAGGAAGCCCAGCTCATTGCAATTGAATTAAATTCATACAAAAATTTGATTATTTTTCTGAATATTTGTTTAAATACATCTCCAGAGTAACATTGACTTAGATTTTTTATAAACTAGTTGAAACCATTACGCTGCTTGAATTTTTCCACAAGCATCTATTGAATTTTTTTTGTAAAAAAAGACATGTAATATTTGGTTTTGAAAGAAATAGCCCTCATGCATGTTTTTGTTGCGCTTTCTGAAATGTAAGTAGTTTTTAATCATTGTCATAAGAAATGACACCAAAAAAAAGGTTTGTTAATGTTTTTGCTTTTTTTTTCAGCTAAAGAAGCTCCTCCTGAGATGCCCATCGTGATAGACCAGGCCGCCCTCAGGGACATCTTGGGCCATCCTGTATTTGACATAGAGGTATTTCAAAAACTTTAGTTTAGACTTCTCTATCCACACACCAGGAGACTCCCGGGCTGTTCCCAGGCCAGTTGAGAGACGTAGTCCCTGCAGCGTGTCCTGGGTCTCCCCCGCCTCCTCCCAATGGGACAGGCTCTCATGGGGTGGTGTCAAAGAGAAATCTGAAACCGATGCCCGAGCCAACTCAACTCACTCCTCCCAATGAGGAGGTGCGGCAGCTCTAATCAGAGCTCCTACCGTGGGACTGAGCACCTCACTTATGGGAACGGCTAACCACTCTACAGATGAAACTTCCACCCTATCTGGTCCTTTTGGCCGTTCCCCAAAGTTCATGACCAAAGATGAGGGTCAGATACAGTGACTGCAGCACTGCTCAGATCTAGGAAAGCTTCTGTTCCCTTTTATATCTTCTACCTCCATTTTTAATTCACCCATTACACGTTTGTTTGAAGTCGCGGCCGGCTCACAGATGTTTGACCATGTGTTGTTAGGTGTCTGAGCGCCTCACTCTGCCAGGTGTAGCCTTGGGCCTGGCCTGGACTCCCCTCGGCGGTGAGATCATGTTTGTGGAGGCCAGTCGGACAGAAGGGGAGGGCCAGCTCACCCTCACTGGACTGCTGGGGGACGTCATGAAGGAGTCTGCCCACCTCGCTATCAGTTGGCTGCGGGCAAATTCTAAAACCTACCAGCTCACCAATAGTAAGTGATACTTCGTTTGGGCTTTAGGGTAGATAGGCCTATCTGAGGGATATATCTATAACACTTTCACAGCTCGATGTGGAGGAGCAGCGGCTCAACTCTGAGCTCCTTCTGTGTGTAAAGGAGCATCCAGCTTTGTGCAGGAAACTCTTGCTGCTTGTACAGTATCCGCTACAGTCATTTCCCAAAGCTCATGACTGAAAGTGAGAGTGGGAACATGACTGAACCGGTGAATCAAGCGTGGCAAAAGGAGCAAGGTTCATTCCAAACATAGATTGATTATTTAATGTGGCAAATCTAGGAATGCAACAAATCCAACGTAGGAAACCTCAGAGTTATTTCTGATTGACGTGTTTGCATGTACAGTTGTAGGGGGTCCTGATCCACTGGAGGGCACTGACATCCACCTTCACTTCCCTGCGGGAGCGGTCACAAAGGACGGCCCATCAGCAGGCGTTACCATAGTGACGTGTCTGGCCTCTCTGTTCAGCGGTAGGCTTGTGCGCTCGGACGTGGCGATGAGTGGAGAAATCACCCTGCGAGGACTTGTGCTGCCGGTGGGTTTCCTGCCACACTAGTAGTATATAAACATGATATTACATGTTTTTAATCTTGATTTCACTTAATCCAAGAACACACTAGCACAGCCTTTCTTATAATCTTATGCAATGCATTTAAATGAATGAAATCAGTATTTATATTTTTTTGTTCTAAATAGGGATGTAAAAAACTATGAATTTTCGTGACCGACCGAGCCTCATTAACCAGTTGAAACCGGTTAACCGCGTAGTTTACAATATTCCAGGTTCTTTGAAATAACAGCCATTTCGAGCCGCGTACTTTCCATAAGTGTATCTATGCGTTCTAATGGATCAGAGCTGAGATGGCGGCGACAAAACCTGCAACAGCTTCGGCACCTTTGCGCACAGAGAACTGCTTTTTTTTGAATCTTCCCATTCTTCTGTGCTGCGGGTTAAAGCATTTTTAAACAAAAGATGGCTCGTCCACATGGTAAGAGCAGCGAGTGACGTGCCGCGTCTCGCAGGTCTCTGCTAAAGTTTAAATACAAGTGATGTGTGTGGAGCTGATGCCAAGGACCATAAACACAAACATGTTCCCATATGGTTTGACTGAAGCCGCGTATTTGCGAAGATCCTTTGGGCTGTGTGACACAGAGGAGCGCGACAGACCGGTATGTGTGCACATCTATGTATGTGTGCACATCTATGTATGTGTGTATGTCTGTGTGTAAATGTATGCTCCAATGTAGTTCTGACCTGCACCAGTGTGCAACTTTGGCGGACTAGTAACAGAGGGGAGAGAGGATGCGTGTGGATGTTACGTATCAATGGAGGGGGGGAAAGTGTGTGCGTGCATATGTGGCGCGTGTGGCATGAAAGTCGGCTCGGAGTTTACTAATACATTGGCGCACACAGCTAGATACGGACCTGCTCGACACATCGTGCAAATAGGACTTAAAATAGCGTTAAGAGACCTCCCCTCTCCCTCTTTTCTTTTTTTAACCGAGAGCTTTGACCGGTTAACGCTGTGACAGTCAACCACCGGTTAAACGGTCACCGATTTACATCCCTAGTTCTAAATCTCGATTGCTTGCATCCTGTGGGGCATCCTTGTAGTGGCTTTGAGGACATTGACTGCACTAGAGTGATTTGTCTGATTTTTTTTTTTACATACATTTGAAACTGCTAAACACTTTTGCCTTCATTTGTAACTCTGCAAAAAAAGTACCACTGCAAACGTTGCCAGTGAAACACCAGGAAAGATTGTATGTCAGACAAAGAATACAAGTAAATTGAAACTGTCCAGTGCACTTCAGATTATATTTATCTTGATTTCAGTATTAACACATAAAACAAGATTTGCGAATAGGACACACTTTGAGGCTTTACTTTACATAAGAATAAGCAGGCTTGTTTACGAGCCCTTTAATTAAATGGGATTCTATAATGCTTGAATCTTTTAAAGTCAAATACATATATGGCCAGTAGTAGTATTGTAAAGTAGTGGAATTGTTTTGGCTGCTGTTGGTCTAATCACACTCGTTTGTCTGGTTCACTTGGGAGATGATGCACTCGGGGCATAAATGCTTCACCAACGTTTCGTTTTGACAAAAGTTTTTTTTAACGTTTCTCAAAAATTGACACTCAACTGGTTTGGTGGTTTGATATCCTCAAAGAAAGCATTTGGCCCCAAGTGATTTGGAACTGCTCCGGTGAAAGTGGACCAGACCAACTGGTGTGCTTGCGTCCTAAAGTGCTGTGTCCTCAGGTGGGCGGGATCAAAGACAAGGTGCTGGCAGCTCACCGCGCCGGAGTCAAGTGTGTCATTCTGCCCAAACGTAATGAGCAAGACTTGGAGGACCTGCCCGCCAACGTGCGCTCCAGCCTGGACTTTATCCTTGTCTCCACTCTGGACCAGGTGCTCAACGGGGCCTTTGATGGAGGGTTTCCAGGAACAGAACGTCCTCCGCTCTCAATGCTCAGCAAACTCTAATAGTTGTGGAAAAACCTCACAATACACATACACAAATCATCTTGGGTAATGCTTGCCAAAACAAACAGGATCAGAATGCTTTCATTGCTGTCGTCTGAACAAATATTACTAAAAGAATGAAATGGCAGGATACAATTAGTGCAACTGTGACTATGAGCAGGAGAGACTAAATAACTATTTTTACATTTATTTTTAAAAACTGCTACTAACTAAATCTATAACACCTAATCATGCAATACAAGGTCACTTCATGATTCAGTTTTTCTGTGAAAATATATTTTATGCATAATGAATAATAAAGTATTTTGTTAATCCTCTGGTTTAAAGGGACAGTAATACACATAGTAGAATAAAGTTATTGCAACTGCAATCACACTTGTGAACACAATCTTCCTTTAGCTCCAACGCACTGATTACCGATGAAATCCACCTTCTGGGGTTTAGATAGAAAAAGTATGAACTGTTGCTTTCCAGAACTGCTTCTGAGCAGAATAACGGCCCATGGGACACACCCTGAACAGACAGTCTGCAACAAAAAAATTATCTAGTCTTGGAGCTAATAAATTTGCAACCCCAACTAGTGTCTTTCTGCTCTGATTAGATCATTTAATTCACATTTTCAAGCAGATTATCACATTTCCATGATATTTATGTTTAAGAACTCCACGTTCTGATAATTCATCTAAGTCTCAGGCACTGCTGACTTGACACGCAGAAAAAAACTTCAGATGTAACTTTTCTCCCGCAGCGAACTAATGTGAAACACTGGTGTGTAGTATGTGTTTTGTCATATTTGAAAGATCAAGAGAGGAGCAGAAAACATTACACAATACATAGTAGCCTCTTACATCAAACGAATTATATGGATAAAAAACACATTGGCATACACCTGTGTTTGATAGTCTGTACAAATTGACCGAGGGGAAACTGAGAAGCAGCACTGATCTGAAAAGGAATGATGAGCGGTTTGTGTGCTGAAAGTATGGCTGAAAGCTGGTGAGAAGCTGTGAATACAAATTAAAATAACGGACTTCAAGATTTCACACACGTTTTGTATGTGATGAAGACGTTTATTTCTCCTGACCACATGTTGCCGGTTGCCCAGTTGGCCTCGCTACAGGTGTTGGTAGTTGGCCCCTGCTGAGTTTACTGTCCTTGGATTAACATGTCCAGATATTGCGTTCACTTTGCTGGAAAAGGAGCATAAGCATCTCGATAGTTGTCCCCTTTTAAAACTAAATATAAGCTTATATTTTAATGTACTGTACAGGGAATAATGCAATGGTCACTAGTGCTAATGTGAATTCTAAACACAGACACAAAAACTTTACTCATTTACACTGACATTACAAAACTATTCTTTCTGGCTGGTTTGAATCTGGATATTCAGACTGGTATTTTGTAGTCATGCCTGTAACATTTGCATCTGCAGTTTCCATACTTGAATTTACATCTGGCACGCTGAAAGCAGCATCGAGCATTACGTTTTTTTCTGGCCAACATGAATTATTTACCTCATAATATTTCAGTCACACCAAGACACGGCCCTTTGTCCCATCGGTTATTGGTTTGAGCATACTCTTAACCTGGGTCATCAGAGCATCTCCCCATCCCCCAGAACTCCAGGTGATGCTGACCCCTCAAATATAATCTATGGCACGTCTTTCACTACACTACTGTCTGTACGTTCAGTGGTCTCCCAGGAACGCCCAGGCTTGGCTTCTCACTGCACTAGGTTTTATTTCTGAGCCAAAATCTTTGACTTAAACATAAACTTTACAATAGGTCGTAAACATTAAGTCAAAAATATTAATTGTGAGCTTTTGTTCATAAACAGGTGTCAGAAGTGTGGGCATTCCAGCTGAATATTGAACTGAAGGCCTTCTCCACTGCATATACAAGCAGCAAATCTACAGCATGTGCAAAATAGCCTAGATTTGTGTTTTAGATTGTCGAATAAAGCTCACTGACTGTTTGAACTGTATAGTTTGGCCTGTAGGGGTCACCATCGTGTTGCTCACTGAGATGGAGATTCGTGGTCTTTGGGGCGTTAACCAGGGCCATTAGAGCTGCCTCACTGTGGCCCAATGGTCAGCCATCACAAACCCTGGCAGCAGGCCCAAAGCACGTGGCAGAGCAGAGCACACCCACAATCATCAGTATGACATCATGCCTTAGGAGTGGTCCATTGCAAAACATTGTTCCCATGTGTGACCAGTGCTCTTTGAAATAGAAAGAAACCAGTGTGCTAGTTTTAGATCAACCATTATAAACTCAATCCCAAACCCCTCACTTATTTGCACAGGTTATTTTCAACAACTTAGACAATAGTATTAACACAATACTGAAACTTATTGAAGCACAGAGGGTCCTTCTTATGAAAAAGATAGATTTATTTGATGACAAATTAAAACAGAAGCCAGAGGTGAAGTAGCGCTGCGACATGAGGAGTGAGGAGAGCTGACCCCCTTCCTCCAGACAAACTGCACACAAACGGATAGAGACAAAGAAAAGGAACAATTCAAAAAAAACTTTCAGAATGACACAACTTGCTTTTTAACTACAAACATTGAAGTTTAGCAACAAGTTTTACAACGGTCTTATTTTTTGTTTTAAAGTTATTAAAAAATTATAATTAAAACCTTTCCATTTAATAACAATAGCGACATTGTAGCAGTACAACTAGTCCCTCATTCCTGTTTGGGTGACAAGTCAGTCAGTGGATGAGGCCAACATGGGCAGAAGAGATTCAGAAAAGAAAAACGTTGGGAAGTGTCCATCTCACACATACGCATTCCCATACAGAAAACAACGAAAAGAAGGAGGAAACAAAAAGAACAAGTTTGGACAAAATTGCAGTGTTTTCCTCTTTCCTGACAAACTCACTTCATAATCAATCTTCAGGGGACAAAGTGAACTTTACCACAGTAAATGCTCCCGCATGTCAGGTCGTTCTTTCACGTTTGCAGTCTGTGCGTTTGTGGGTGGCATAATGTGAGGGTGCGTGCCTCAGCATCATGATCCCGTCACTATAGAACCAAAGAGCCAGAAGTGTGCTGAAATTAAAAGCAGCCCCAATGTGTGGTGAGCCATTGGATTCAGGAGGTACTGAAACGAGCACATGGGTGGATCTCTAGTTAGCCACTTTGCTAACTAATGTTTTGTAGGACTCCGTCTTAACAGCCTTCATTGTGAGAGCAGGGACCCACAGCGTTGTGGCGAAGAGGAGCATTTTGGAAGAGACAAAAAGCAACAGCGCAGGCCACTCAGAAGCAGGAGTCTCACTGAGCGCTGTTTCAGTTGTGTGTGGACCGAAGTCTCACAGACGTGGATTTGACAGTCTAGAGCCGTCACTACAGTTCTGTTTGTCCACTCATCCTTTCATCCACACATTCATACATCCCAGCAGGCCCTGGGCTCAGGCTGCCCACAAGCAGTCCTGTTCTACATGAGTGTCTCAGAGGCAGAGCACTGCGAGGCCTGGGCCTCTGTCGGTCATTAACGCTTCACCCGAGTGGACTCGGTCCTTAGCACATGGAGATGGTCACGTTGATGCCCAGATTACCGTTCTCTGCAAAGAGCTGTGCGATGGATGTGTCAAACACAAGGCAGTCGCTGTTCATGATGGCCGTGGCAATGCCCTCATGGATAGAACGTGGCGTGGCTTCCCAAGTGAGTCGGCGCCTGTGCCCGTTCAGTTCCAGGCGGTACGCAAAGTTCTCCGCCTGCTTCCGAGTCCCAATGAGCTGCACAATGGCAAAGAACTGCTGGTGCCCATCGTACTTCTCCTGTTTCTCCAACACCAGCATAAAGTGGAAGCCGAAGCACGACTGCATCATAACCCAGTCCACAGCCCCGGGAAGGTTTATGTCTGTGGCCAGGAACACGATGTCCTCCCCCTGAAACGCAAGGTCAAGTAGATATGAGATGGATCAAAGGAAGCTGGCCAACTGCCCACACTCACTTTACATTTGAAACAAAGCAGCTAGAGTGGATTGAAACTGACCTGCAGTGTAGTGATGGATTTGTGCTGGTGCATCAGGTGGGGCATCACAGCGTCCAGGGAGCCCTGCCATTTGCAGGAGGCTCCAGGACAGGGGCAGGAGTAGGGCCTGAACTCGCACAGCTCCTCATGCTCAGTTTTGTCAGTGTGAGGCAAGGTTACTTCGCAGCCCGATGACGCGTACTTGCAGGGGAACAGCACAGAGTTTGCCACCTTCTCCATGGCCAGGTTCCTGATGGAGCCCAGAGGCCCTCTGCAGGTGGGGCAGCAGGTGAGCTTGGGTCTGCAGTTGGAGCACACCTGGAAAGAGACACAATTAAGTAATCAAGCTTGATGTGTACCATTTGTACTATTTTTTGCATACATTTGTGCTTTCATAATCAGGAGGCTCAAGCACAAACATACCGAGAAGAAAAAAATAATGGAGTCCATAAATACAGCCGTGTTTATGTACAAAGTTTCTTATTAGTCAAGAATTGGTTTGGTTTCTTTGAGTTGAAAAGATTATCACAAACAAACAAGAACCTTCCAGGATCATGACATTGAGCTTTCACCACATGGTTAAGAGACAGTCTTTCTGTATGACTTTGTAGAGGGTAAAGAATAATCTGATAGATGTAAATATTGTGGCATGAGTTAGTAAGTGGACGTTTTGAGCCATGTGAGCTGCTGCTATGTGCACTTTGCAGGTTTTTAAACTCAATGGCCTTTGCACCATCATATTTAAAGTGGTTCTCACCCCCGCTCCTCGGAGCTTACGTCACTCACATTTCCTGTTCAAATCTTCCTCTAAATGGGCGTAGCCTGGAGGACTGAAGGGGGCGTGAACGAGACTGGGCCGTTTACATTGCTCTGGGCGGGGGGCTGCTGACGTCAGGTCTTGCTTCAGACGTCAGGTCTTGCTGCCGCGCCAGTGTTGGCGCCAGATTCAAAATTCAAATGTAGTAATACAGGTCGCCAGCAGATGGCGCCTCACAGACGGTTTTAGGCAGAAAGTTTAACTTTCAACTAATTTGCACCAAAGTGACAAGATTATGACCAGGATATGTAGACAACACTATTGGACACTCATTTATACCGTTTATCAGCAAAAAAAAGTGGATTTGAGGGTGAGTTGTCCTTTAAGGTGTGTCATGGTTAAACAAAATATATTAAATACAAGACTGCTGGCCCTGTTCTCTACGTCTTAAATAGTCTTGGCTGCATTTAAACCAGTGGATTTATTGATTGACTGCGGAACCTTCCGCAGTCAACCATTGGTTTTGTATTTCTTTATTCCGTCATTTTTTTTGACACGTTTCACAGCTTTCACATTTTCAACAATTTCCACAAGTTATACATCAAAACGTTCCACATGTTTGGGAGATTATTGCTATTACTTTTGGGACTTCAGCGATTTCCGGTTTTTCCGCAATCGGACAAAAATCTGCATTGAGAATTCTGCAATGCATTTTAATAGGCCCATGCATTTTAATAGGACTTCAGCTCTTTCAGACATTTCTACAGTTTCAATGATTCAACAGTTTCAAGGATTCAACAGTTTCAAGGATTTCAGCAGTTTCAAGATTTCAAGAGTTTCAAGGACTTCAACAGTTTCAAGGACTTCAGCAGTTTCAAGGACTTCAGCAGTTTCAAGGACTTCAGCAGTTTCAAGGACTTCAGCAGTTTCAAGGACTTCAGTGTAATCATGCAACCTAATAGGGATTTTTCCATGTAAACCAGTATAATGCAACTTAATAGGGTTTTTTCATGTAAACCAGTATAATGCAACTTAATAGGGTTTTTTTCATGTAAACCAGTATAATGCAACTTAATAGGGTTTTTTTTCATGTAAACCAGTATAATGCAACTTAATGGGTTTTTTTCCATGTAAACCAGTATAATGCAACTTAATAGGGATTTTTCCATGTAAACCAGTACAATGCAACTTAATAGGGATTTTTCCATGTAAACCAGTATAATGCAACTTAATAGGGTTTTTTTCATGTAAACCAGTATAATGCAACTTAATGGGGATTTTTCCATGTAAACCAGTATTATGCAACTTAATAGGGATTTTTCCATGTAAACCAGTATAATGCAACTTAATAGAGATTTTTCCATGTAAACCAGTATAAATGCAACTTAATAGGGATTTTTCCATGTAAACCAGTATAATGCAACCTAAATAGGGATTTTTCCATGTAAACCAGTATAATGCAACCTAATAGGGATTTTTTCCATGTAAACCAGTATAATGCAACCTAATAGGTTGCATTTATACCACCAGACCAAGACCCAAACGAAGACTCAGACCACCACCAGATAATGACCACAGACCAGGTTCCTTAGTTACAGGAACCAATTGTTTCAGCGGTGAGGGGATTTTTCAGTTTCAAGGATTTCAACTGTTTAAGAATTTAACCAGTTTCAAGGATATCAGGAGGTTCAAGGATTTCAGGAGTTTCCACACTTTCAACAGTTTCCAGGTTTAAAAAAGTTTCAAGGATTTCAGGAGTTTCAATGTTTCAACGTTTCAAGGATTTCAGGAGTTTAAAGGTTTCAACAATTTCAAGGACTTCAGGAGTTTCAAATATCTATCAAGTATTTTAACAGTTTCAAGGCCTTTTAAAGGATTTCAAGGATTTTTTTTAGCAGATTTCCACATTAGATCTGTTCCGCAGTCAATCGCAATGGCTTCAGCCATTGCAAGGTTTCTAGTTAATTATTGTGTATAGTTTCTAGGATATCCTTCTCTTACCCGCTCTCAGATGTCACAAGATATGACTATACCTTAACATTGACAGTTGCATTCTTGATATCTATCTGCACAGGTGTATCCAAGACAACATTATGTTGTTATTAGGTTTCATTGACACATCCAAGGTTTGATCGAGTGAACTAGGGATGTAAAAAACTATGAATTTTCATGACCGACCACCGAGCCTCATTAACCGGTTTCAACCGGTTAACCGCGTAGTTTAAAATAGTCCACGTTCTTTGAAATAACAGCCATTTCGAGCTGCGTACTTTTCATATGTGCAGCTGAGCATTCTAATGGATCAGAGCGGAGACAGCGGCACCAAAACCCGCAACAGCTTGGGCACCTTTGCGCACAGAGAACTGCTGTTTTAATCTTCCCATTATTCTGTGCTGCGGCTTAAAGCATTTTTAAGCAAAAGACGGCTCGTCCACATGGTCAGGGCAGCGAGTGACGAGCCGCGTCTCGCAGGTCTCCGCTAAAGTTTAAAAGTGATCAGTGTGGAGCTGATGCCAAGGACCAGCAGCACAAACATGGTCCATGTGGTTTGACTGGAGCCGTGTATTTGCAAGAATGCTTTGGGCTCCGTGACACAGAGGAGCGCGACAGACCGGTATGTGTGTGTGTACAATACATGTATGTATGTGTGTATATGTCTGTGTGTGTGTATATGTATGTGTGTGTGTGCAATACATGTATGTATGTGTGTGTAAATATAAGCTCCAATGTAGTTCTGACCAGCACCAGTGTGCAACTAGCAAGCGGTAACAGAGGGGAGAGATGATGCGTGTGGATGTTACGTGTCAATGGAGGGGGGGGAAATGTGTGTGTGTGTGTGTGTGTGTGTGTGCGTGTACGTGCATATGTGGCGCGTACGGCGTGAGAGTCGGCCCAGAGTTTACTGTTACATTGGCGCACACAGCTAGATAGGGACCCGCTCGTCACATCGTGCAAATAGGGCTTAAAATAGCGTTATGAAGAGACCTCCCCTCTCCCCCTTTTCTCTTTTTTAACCGACAGCTTTGACCGGTTAACGCTGTGACGGTCAACCACCGGTTAAACGGTCACCGATTTACATCCCTAGAGTGAACCACAGTAGGCTTTTTGGGAAACTCAAAGAAAAGAATGTGCCTGATGGCATTATAAGAATTTTGACCTACTGGTATTCTAACCAGCAAATGCAGGTTAAGTGGGGTAATACCATCTCAGCTGCCTTCGGCGTTAGTAACGGAGTGCGTCAGGGTGGGCTGTTGTCCCCTCTCCTGTTTAACCTGTACATGAATGACCTGTCCCTGTGTTTGAATGGCTGTAGAACGGGCTGCATGATTGGCAACACGCTGGTCAACCCTTTTCTGTATGCAAATGATCTGGCCCTTCTCTCCCCAAATAGTACTGCAGCTTTTGAATGCATGCTCTGATTATGGGTTCAAGTTTGATATTCAATATAATGCCAAAAAGAGCTCTGCAATAATCTGCCCCACCAAAGAGGACAAATATAAGAAGGCTGCACCACTTATAAGCTCAAAGTTGCCTATAACAATGCTTTTATGATTCTGCTGAAAAAGCCAAGGTCCAGTAGTGCTGGTCTGCTGTTCTGTCAGACTCGTGAACTCTTTCCCTGCTCTGATGAGAAATACAGTACAGACCAAGAGCTTATACACACTTTCTCATTCTATGAGTTTCCTTTCTTTTCAGGACTATTGACTGTAGATTCACACCCAGGCTGTGTAAGGGTAGCCTGACTCTCACCAGACCCTTGTAGTTCCACCATGCTCCACCAGAGGCTGAACCACATGGGTCTGGTATTACCAGATCAGAAAATAATCGAGAATTGCCTGTGTTACATCGGGTTTGCACCGCCTTCTCAAGCGTGTCTCCAAGATGGCGGACATTAAGTACGTAATAAATAAAAAAAAAAGTTTAAATACGAACAAATTAAGACATGGATGTCACTTTTAATGCACTATGAGGCGAGATGTTGATGGTTCCATGTTATATATGTGTTTTAAGAGTCAAATGTTCGTGTAAAGTTTGGTTTAAGTACTAGTTTAAAGCCGCGTTCAGACCGGATCATGCGTCGCGTCGGGTTTCAATGCAAAGTCTATAGTGACGCGTGTTGCAGCGTCAAAACGCACCGACCTCCCGGCACGCACTTAGGGACTGCTGAGTAGAGCTGCACGGACTTGGCTGGAAAGTGAAAGGGGAGGAGCAGGAGCGGAAATGGACGCCCACAGGAGATAAACTTTGCTCAACTTTTCCTCGGGACGTTCGTGCAGCGACCAATCAGAGAGCCGCAAAGTGGTCACGGGGACATTGGTGATCTGAGCGAGCAGACTGAACATACAGTAAACAGCCAAAACAGGAGCTATACCAGGACTAAACAGGACTAAACCAGGACTAAACCAGGACTAAACCAGGACTAAACCAGGGTTGACAATGGGGGACTCTGTGCTTGTGAATATATGCGTTGTCATGCTCCCGTGACCTTATGCAACTGCTTAGAGTGTGTTCGCTGATGCGGAAATACCGTTTAATAATACAAAAAAACGTATGGCGTAACTCCGTGAACACATACTACTGTTGTATAAAGCCCGTGGAATATCTGTGAGCAAAGACACGCTGCAAAGCTGAATATTGGAGAAGATCTGTACACAAGAAGCCGCGAGCATAGCTCTGTTAGCATTAGAGCCGGCCGGCTACTTCCGGTACTTCCAGCTCGCGTCAGGACGTTCTGGTGTGAAGTCCTCTGCGTCTGAAAACTAGAGAATGCACGTCTGGTGAGCGGGGCTTCAGTGTTTGAGCCTCCTCCAACTACTATGGAGGAGGCCCAGACGCATGTGTGAAGTGCAGCGAACTACATGGGTCTGGCGAGAGTCAGGCTAGTGTAAGGGCTATTTGACCAATAAGGAGAGTGGTGGGTGCTGGGCCAGATGGCTCACCGGACCTGAACCCAATCTAGATGGTTTTGGGGTGAGCTGGACCACAGAGTGAAGGCGAAAGTGCTAAGCACCTCTGGAAACTCCTTCAAGACTGTTGGAAGACCATTTCAGGTCACAACCTCTTGAAGCTCATCAAGAGAATGCCAATAGTTTGTGAAGCAGTAATCAGAGCCAAAGGTGCTACTTTGAAGAACCTAGAATAAAAGACATTTTCAGTCGTTTCATAACTTTCTTTTTTAGTACGCACATAATTCCACAGGAGTTAATTCATAGTTTTGATGGCTTCAGTGTGAATCTGCAATTTTCATAATCAAGAAAATAAAAAAATAAAAAAGGTGTGTCCAAACTTTTGGTCTGTGCTGTTTATGTTCCACCTGAATGCCAGTGAGAATTATTTTGTTCAGTCTCTGGTGAACCCCAGTATTGGTGCTGTACGCTACCAGTCAGCTCTGTGGAAGCTCTGGTACAGTTGTCTTTTATAATGGTTTGTTTTGTGGTGTTTGTATTTTGTGGACTTTGAATCTGACAAATAAAGATAATAATAATCTAATGTGTTTATGTTGTATTCAACAAAATAACATGTGAATAAAACCACAATCAAAAAGACAGGACGCCTCATCTGATGCAAAGATGAGATGATTCCCAGTTGCAGGGTTAGGGTGAGGTGGACTTACCAGGTGTCCGGACTGGCACTGCAGGATGGGCGGCAGGACATAGTCGAAGCACACAGGACACTCGAACAGACTGGCCAGGTCACTGTTGGATGCAGTGGTGCCTGACAAAGTCTGCACGCGCTGGGAGGGGGGGCACTTGGAGGTTCCTGTGGGCAGCGCGGTGGCGGTCTGACGACTCATTTCTGCTTCAGAAGAGAACAGTGTTCAAGGATTGGGTCGAAAGACATGAAAATGTAATAGTCATTTCTGTTTTTCCAGCACTGGTGGGAACCTGCTGGTAGTCCGTATTCAATGCCACTGTATTCTGTGAAATGCTGATTTAAATGTATTTTTAAAGTATGTTTACAGCTCTTCTGGGGTGCTTGCTATTCCCAATGACTAGGTGTTTTCACACAGTTGACTCTAAATGATCAAAACACTCTAGTAGATCCAATATGTTTTGAAAATAAACTTGGATCCCATTCCTACTAAAATTCTAGTCAGAACAGAGTTAAATGGACTTATTACAGTCCTAATCAGATATAATTGTCCTGTGTATCCATCTGCACTCTCATATCAGCTCTCTGCTCTTCACATAAACACACCAGGAGCTCAAAAGCCAAAAATACATACATTTGCCCAATCACTAAGTAGGCCACACGGTTCAAATGACTTAAAAGATGTAGTGCCTAATAGTCCAGCAATAACAGTAAGTATATCCAATGTCAGCTTCCAGAACAAATGTGCATTTTCTACCACACAGGTTGAATATGGCACATCAGTTCTACAATGAAGGTGTTCAGAACACACCACAAAGACTGGAAATATCTGCAGGGCACACATGGAAAAAAGGAGAGCACAAACAAAAAAGGCTGCATGCTGGAGGAACTAGTTAGAGCTGGAGAACAAGTCAAATGAGGACACTGCTGGAGGGGACAGACAGATGCTGCAGCGGTGTGCGGGAGGAGAGCCATGTCTGCGCTGTACAGGACCCTTTCAGACAAATCTAGTGGTAATGGGAGCCAAAGGCCAAACACATGATGTACACATGTGGGAGGGGGAGGGGGTCAAGGGTGGGTCATGATGACAAACTCAGCACTAGTCTTCTTTGAATTTCTGTCAGTGAGAGGACTGTCATATATATATTTTACAAATTGAAACACCTTGTCGGAAGAGTTTTTGAATGCTTTTGAGATCCACTTTTCCAGATATATTAAACATATTTGTGTATTTTGTTCTGTCACTTTGGGTAGAATATGGACTTGGCACTGTAGCACATCTGCTGTGGTGAAAGGAAAGCTAATATTAGATGCGCTTATAGCTAGCATGCTAACAGCCGAGCTAGGAGCATTGGGCCAAAATTAGCTCAGGACAAGACCAGGCCAGAGTCAGTCAGCAGCAAATCCAAAACCGCCTGCATCGTTTGGCCATTCCAATGAAAACTGTTTGGCATTACTAACTCTGTTTAAATATGTGACCAAATATGTGACCATTTGTTTATTTACATTATTGAAATTGTAGAGGAGAACAAGTAATTATTACACTTAATGAATCTAGATATTTATGTTTTCTGAACAAAATGAGTAGTTGTGCTGGGATTGACTGAACTGGAGTAGAAGTCATTGGATTGGATTTATTCATAAGAAAAATAAATGGTTGTTTTCCTGGAACAAACCGCTTGTGTATGAAGGCCAAATCAGCACTAATGATGTGTAAAGGAAAGTTGAAAAGCATTATATGGGAAGTGGTATGCTAGCTAATGTGTAGTCTGCTCCCAACACTGCTCATCTCCCCATCTGAGCCCCCAAGGATGGCCATGGGGATTATGTGGACATTATCCTGCAGGCTGTTGTGGACAATCAGTGGATTACGTCTGCACTGGCACCAGTCCACTGACAGCGGCCAGAGCACATGATGCTGCAGTGTGCAGTCATTGATATATTCTTTCCAAAAAGTTGTGGGGGAGGACAACGAAAATAAAGCCTAAATGTTATAAGCATTACACACACCTTCGTCCATAAGATTTCCAAATGAGGCTTTCGTCTTCTCTTGAAATGTGGGGACCTCTGGAACAAAAAAAAAGACAGGAAAGGGGTGAGAATCAACAGCAATGAAAGAAAATAGATCTTGGATTAACAGAAAACAAAAACTATTCATGTTCAAGACCCTAACTAACCCTTCTTTGTCGACAGCCCGAGGTTGTGTACAGTTTATGATGCAGATCACAGCACATGCAGCCATTGCACCTGGACTAAGATCTGAGAATCACTCAAAACACTTACTCCATCTCATTGTCATCAAAAGCAATCAGTCTTTGCACTATTTCTATATTATTAGGCTGCTGCAGAATATAGATGCGTTTTCCAGCTCTATCACTGTCAGGGCTGGATGCCAAAAACATTTGTGATGCTATAAAAGTTGAATGGGTTTTAGACCACTCTAAAATAAGTGTCAAAAAGAGGGAAATTTTGTGTGCCTATAAAACAGTTCATTACAGTTAGGGATGTATTCATAGGATTTTTTCCAAAACCGATCCCAGCACCAGTACTTCAAGTATTTGTCACTCCTGAATTCAGACATCCAATTATCTCGTAAAGAGTTCTGTGGTAGAATAATGTCACCACTTAATGTTTTTAACACAGATCATTTGAATATACCATCTAATTCAAAAATATAAAACATTGCACATCTTTCATAAGCTGCTGATACGATACAGATCTTGATACACATGACAAAATACTTATGTAGATGGAAGCGCCTTTCAATTCCATATGATATATTTCTAAATGACACAGGCTGTTGTCCCTTTGCAGGACTCAGTAGCAGCCAGAGGCGTGCCTACTTTAAAATCATTGTACCTTAAAAACATGCCCCAACATGTCTGAAACAATATTTTCACGGTAAAAGTTTAATAATTTTTCCTTCTCTACCCTTTGTAGCTATGGCACAGTCATCATTCTAGACTTTACTCTAACTGCACTAACTCTGGTGTGTATACTGTATCTACATTGTGACACGACACTGGGTCCAAGTAATATTGCCTGTGGAGCCATAAACGTGTACATGCTCTCACTTCAGCCCCAAGTGAACCAGAGTTAAATAATTTTTTTTTTTTTGGGAGATGTGAAATATCCAACAATCCATGAAGGTCTACTGGAAGACTGTACACGTGTTTCCACTGAAGACATTGAACATGGCAGGGCTGATGGAGCTAAAAGGGTGCTAAAAGGAGCTCATTGGAACAGAGATGGTGGAAAAAAAAGCATGGCTCGGCACAAATATGTCCTTTTCTTCTTTGTGTGGAAAACAGACGGGAGACAACAACATTCACACAAATCTTTTCCCACATGCCTCAAGTCGAAAAATACCGTTAGTCTTGGGACAGAAGCCTAAACATGTAGCTTCAAAGCAGAGGTATTTATGACACTTTATGACACCTTGGCTCAACACAGCAATAACAGTAAAGCTGACTAAAGTGGAAAGTGCATTCTTCACCTTTTGTCTTTGACACGCTCCTCCCAGCTCCGCACTTCAGGAGACACAAAAAGGAATTCCAAGGCGGAGCCACAAGCGCTACACAAAACGGCCTCAACTTCACACAGGCCAACATGGGAGCAGAGCTGCTACGCTGAAGCTCCTTGCCGCCATGTTTCCTTGGCTCTCTCCATGGAAACGGCACACGCTTTTTGCCGCGCTACACATGTCTCAGAGGGTCGCATTTCACCCTCCCACAAGGAAATGGGACGATCCAGGAAGTCCACACAAGGTCAAATGTCAGTATAAATAAATAAATAGTCAACCGTTGCTGCCCCTCAGGACAGATCAGTGAGTCAAACTCCCTCCACAGGCTGCAGTCACCGATTGTCTTTTCAGTCGAGGCACTTATAACACTTCAGACAAGGCTGTGTTGAGGTGAGGAAGGGGAAGTCCCGCCTTGTGGAAACAGGGCCAACTTTGTCCCCTCCAGAGAGCGGCGTGCCACTACTGTGGGGCGTGTTTGTGGGAAAAGTTACTGCAAGCATGTAGTTGGACAACCAGTTACAGTGTCAGCAAGTTTTACCGCCCAGTCTTGGCTGATCCTATAGACAATTAAAATCATTCATTTACCAGATTCAATCTTTCTCAAAATATTCAAAATATTTGAATATTTATCAAAATTTTCTTTCGCTCTAAGTTTTTTACCTCTTTCCTGTGGTGCACATTTTGAGCTGGACATTCTCCCCTCCCCGGGCCCGGCTAAGAGTCCGTCTCAGATTTCAGGCTTGTCTGGCTGTGGGCTGCAAAATTGCCCTCGTTGACTCCTATTTGCGTAGTTCGTTACCTTTTTGTCCAAGTAAAATTGCCTCTTAAAAAAAACCCTAACATTTGTGTTTTGATTGACATTTCATAACAGATGTAATTATATACAGTTATTTGTCAAACAGCGACTAATTACTAAATTAATTTCAAACCATTACTGCTTAAAACCCAGGACTTTCTCTACTCTGCTACGAAAATCTCAGTAAAAGTCAAGTATCTTTCCCTTTTCCAAACAGCAACACATAACAATGAGGTGGAGGAAAAGCTGCTTGAGTGAAACCAAAACAAGTCTGCGCCAGCAAGTTCCTCAAAACAAACCAAGTTTTATTCATACATGACAAGAGTCAAGGAAACCACTACATTATTGAATGTAAAGTAAATGTGGAAACAATTTTAAACTTACGTTAAAGCTAAAATATAATACGACACTAGATGAGTACTGGTAATTTATATTTTCAGTACCAGGCTTGTATTAACTGTAGTAAGCAGATATAAATTATATATATATATATATATATATATATATATTAGTTTTTATTAGGGCTGTCAAATGATTAAATTTTTTAATCTAGTTAATTAAAGCTTAAAAATTAATCGTAAATAATCGCATTTCGAACTATCGGCAAAATGATGCCATAGTTTTTGTAAATGGTTGTTTGAATGGAAAGATAAATGATGACATAGTGTACATATGTACAGTATTTGTTTATTATAACAATAAATCCACATAAAATGGCATTAACATTATTAACATTCTGTCTTTCTGTAGTAGACACTATTTTTTCAGCTTGACATTCTACATCTGCTAAAGCCTCCTCTTTCTTATTCTTCGTCTCATAAAGGCTGTGGATCCTCTTCATTATTGTATCTCTACAAACTATTTGTTACAGGGATGAGAATTTGAAAATAGTCTGAAATACATGTCGGCCAATGGCTGTCATTAACTCTGATTTGCTCAAAACATTTAATTTTGGGCACAAAAAAAGAAATGTCCAATATATGACTCAAAGCCCATTTCTATTTTTTTTTTCTTTTTTAAATGGAGGCCAGAGTGACACCCAGGAGGTGCCTACAGCATCTCCTCTTATGGCCACATGAAATGCATGATTAGTTTTCCTGCAGACTCTGGACATGTGAAGTATGCCATAGGATTGGATATACTCTGACACAAATGAGAATGGTATCGATACATGCCAGAAAATAATTGTATGCTTGGCCTGTATGAGTTGTAGGGACGCACGATTTATAGGTATAAACATTGGGCCTCATTCACGAATAACTTCGTAAGAAACTACTCAGCGTTCTTCTCAAGTTGTCCTTAAGTAGATTTCTAAGAAGTCCCCACGTGGGATTCATCAACGCACTCGTAAGCCGCTGAATTGTTCGCAGCTGTTCTCTCAGATTGATGAATCCCATTTCCTCGTAAGTAGAGCGCGCGTGCCAGGTGCTTCATTAGCATAGGTACTTAGCATAAGTAACCGCCCACTAATGCCCATATAAGGGGATGCAGGGCCGTGTGCAGACGGCAGAGGAAACAGCAACAGGCCTTTACACGGAGCAAAAGTCACCCTTTTTTCTTCTTTTACCAGACTGAGAATAAAGTTATAAAATGTTGACTTAAAAGTCGAAATATTATGATAATAAAGACGAACTAGCAAAATTATGAGATTAATCTAAGAATATGATGAGATTAATCTCAAAATGTTATGAGCTTAATTTAAAAATATATTATGTATTATTTTAAAGATGAATCTCAAAATTTTTTTAGATTAATCTCAAAATATTTTGGACCCTGGGAGGAGATCCAGCGCGGACCAGCGCTGAGACCAATGCAGACCCGAGGAGAGACTGGAGTGACCAGCACACAGAAACCAGCGCGGACCTATAGGAGAGACCGCATAGACTGGAGTGACCTGACTGACCGAAGAGAGACCGCATAGACCAGACTTGAGAGACCAGCGCGGACCCGTATGGAGAGACCAGTGCAGACCCGTATAGATCCATGGGAGAGACCAGTGCAGACCCGTATATGGGAGACACCAGCGCAGACCCGTATAGATCCATAGGAGAGACCAGCGCAGAGACTCAGCGCGGACCCCGCAGCCTCCTGCAGCAGCAGTATATATGCCGTTGTTCTGTGGCCCGTGGATAAAGAAATGCCCCCTATAAATAGGAAGGGGTCACTAATACACGGCAAGATTTCCAATGTATTTGATAAAGCGTTGGCACATTTCATTTCAAAATGAATTAAAAAGTAGGCCAGATCTGCAGTGAAAAAGGCGGTATATAAATAAAGATTACTAATAAAGATTACTACAAATAAATAAATACATACATCGATATGACGGACATATCACTGGAATGTTGTATTTTTATTCAACTTCACCAAAGAGGACAACCCCCGCGTGTGAACATGTCGGCACTGAATGCGTACGAGTGCTCTTGAGGACTCGTAGGATTTGTACTTGCCCAAGAGAAATTCTGGTTACGAGAAATATTTGTGAATGCCACTTTCTTCGTAAAAACCGCGTAAGTAGGATTTACGTACACATCTGTTCCTAAGAACCGTTCGTGAATGAGGCCCATTGATATCGGCTGATTTTCATCATTTTTTAACTTGTCAGCATTGGACTGATGTGCTACAAAATATACAGAGGAGGCTGCGGTTGTGCTCCCGTTTTTGCTCCGTTTGCATGACAGAGCGCACAGACTAAGACCAGACAGGTACGTATTAACTAGTCTAAGGTAAGGTAAGAACATTTGTCAGTATGTAAAAACTGTGAACTATTCCTTTAAGGTAATATGTATTATAATTCAATGTTTAGTATAGGGAGAAATGGTAATGTATTGTGGATCTTATTTTTGTATAACTTTTGCTGTGAGTGCAGTAAATTGGTGTTACTGAAAATAAATGCATTAGAGTAGATTGATTTTGGTGTGCCTAAAAACATGTATGGAATGTACAGTAAAGTAAGTTGTGTGCCCTTTTTCCATGGATCTATTATATTAACTTTTTACATTATTACTAGCTTGGAGCTGAAGAACCCATGTGCTCGGGAGATTCTCGCGGTACTGCAGACTAAACCAGACTAAATTCATGTGGGCCACCGAGAAATTTTCCCCATAGAACTCAATGTAAATTGAAACAGCGCGACCTCAGCTGACAGAACCTACAGCTGTCATAAAGGCAGGATTTTGTGGGGATTTTAGAGGCCCTTGTCATCCTTATTTTTTTTTCTTTTTAAATCCTTAAGTTTTCTTTAAATCTACACTTTAGAGCCACAAACTCTGCTCATCTGGCTCCCGCTTTAACTTCCGCTCTGATCAGCAGCTCTGATCGGTCAGAGCGCGGCCGAGCCCCTCTGTGCGCGTGCATGACAGCCACACACGCATGTTTCGTGCAAAGCATCATGGAAGTTCATCCACTGCGCAGAACCGGGAGGACCAGACAATGCTGAAATACAGGCGAGTTTCCCATGGATCTTTGAGAGTTCCAGAAGACTTCCGCTAATCTTTTCAGCTCCCATGCTGGCACAAAGCGCCACTGAGCACAACCGTTAATTTGAATACTGCGCCATCTTGGATCGCCGGGGCTTGCCTTTTTCCCCTCTACACAACTAGCTGTGAGCATAACATTAGGCTCTGTGGGGTAAAGCTAGCATAGGCACCTCGTAGGGCTGGGCAATATAATACAATTTGCGGTAATGAAGCTATAATTTTGAGGGACGGAACTAAACTGAAATACCGTGTGTGCGTGGTAAGAAACACTGGGTCAGACCGAGTAACAAGCTTCCCAACTAAAAGTCCAACAACAACAGTATAGCCTCGGTTTGATCGTGGGCACTTCCTCACTTGCACTCCCAATTAATGCAGCCTCTCCTCCCTCTTAAAAAAGAGACAGACAAAAGTAATAGCATAATGTTACTAAAACTTTATGTATTTAGTAGAAATATGATTCATGTATATAGTTTCCAACACTTGCCAGTTGCCACAGATACATTTTCCACAATACATTCAGTTATACTTTTGCCAATACAGTAGTATGTTCGGCTCATTTCTTCTCTTTTCATGTTGTGGATTTTGAATGAATACCATTTATTTATTTAGTAGTGTAGGGTTTAATTACATGGACACATTTTAAAAAGGTCTTGTAATACTATTCTGATGTATTGAACTTGCATCAGACAATAATATTGAAAGCACTTTATGCCACTATATGAAATACTTATCTGAAGTAATAATAATGCACTATTTTTATATAGACACACACAAACAAGATCCTATACAGCATTATTCAATCACTCCATACATGGTAGTTATAGTGTTCTATTGAAGCCACAGCTGCCCTGGGGCACAGTGACAGAAGCGAGGAAACCAGCATGTGCAATAGGGCCCTCCAACAACCACCAACTATTCATGCACACACCAGACTTATCATAGGCAATGTAGGTGTCTTGCCCAAGAACACAATAGTTTGGCACTTTAGAGGCATAGCCGCTGTGGCATCTGGTGTTCCCCAAAGGTCTCCCATTTCAGTACTAACCAAGCCCTGCTCTTCTGAGCTTCAGAGGTCCGACAGGATCTGGCTTTCACATGCAGGTGGCACCAGAAGACAATAATCCATACAAATGTGCAATTGTGTGACAGGCCAGGACAGGGGATATTGGGCGGCACGGTGGCTGAGTGGATAGCACTCTCGCCTCTCAGCAAGAAGGTCCTGGGTTCGAATCCCGGTCGGACCAGGGCCTTTCTGAGTGGAGTTTGCATGTTCTCCCCGTGTCTGCGTAGGTTTCCTCCGGGTACTCCGGTTTCCCCTACCACTAAAAATATGTCCAATAGTTCTAGCATGCGCCTCCTGTGATGGCGACCGCGCTCCCATCTCTGTGTGGAGTGAGAGACAAATGCCCAAAAATTAACAATTGTAAACCGCTTTGAGACTCAGATCTGCAGTGAAAAGGCGGTATATAAATAAATACTTACTTACTTACTACTACTACTACAAAGGAAATAAAAAATATAAAATAAAAAAAACACAGGTAAGTGAGTAAGTAATCTTTATTTATATACCGCCTTTCACAGACCAGAGTCACAAAGCGGTTTACAATTGTGGGCATGTGTCCCCTCACTCCACACAGAGATGGGAGGTATTGTTAAACAATAACGAGTGTGTTTGTGAGTGTGGCTGTGGAAAAATAGATGCAAACTAGCCCAAAGCTACAATCCAGAGGAGTTTATTAACATCCACTGTCCCAACCAAGAAAAAAACAAAATCAAGGCCTACCCACGGACCACTATCCGTAGGGTAGATGTAGCAAGGAGTCTGATTAGACAAACTTCTGTGCATCTTGTACTGAATGCCACTTTTCAAAAGATTGACATGAGGCTATCTGAAGGAAACATCCGAAAAGTTTGTAGAAGCCAACAGCCACTTTTTAGTGCAAGTTAAAAATTAGCTCCAAAATCCTGGATGCATGGATATTCATATGGACACGACAGGTCCTCAGAGACCAGAGACAAGTATCTCAGTAAGTAAGGCCACAGCAGAAGCTTGAACCACACTCTTCTCCTGCTCTGGGAGAGAAGGGAGAGATCCACAAGGCACCATTCTGTCACACAGGTCGATGCATATCGATTAGCGTTGAGTTCTGTTTTGAATCAGACTTACAGTGTATTGCTGCTTCCAAAGTCAGAACTATCAGAATGCATGAACGTGAACATCATCACAGAGACAAACAGGACACAGTTAAGTCTACAAGTCTGAAATACACTTTATCATAGACTATATGCAAGAATTCTAGCCATAGGAATTGTTCAAGATCCAAAAAACCACTAGTTTAAATTACTTCAAATATGTTCTGAAAAGCAGTTTCTTGGTTAAAAATGTATGTTTTGCAAAGATCCACTGAGCTATAAAAATAGAGCAGTTGAAAAAACACAAGTTATGAAGAATTATCAATATGAAGATTCTTCCCGTTGCATTTTCAGCGTCATCGCACTTTTTGTGAGATTTACAGCAGATAATCTTTTTCATTCTATGATTTAATCCTGCTACATCTGTGACTTTACATATGAGCCAACATAGGAAAAGGGGATACAGTAATAAACCTACGAAACTTCACAAAGAGCTAAAACAACATAGCAATACCCACAAAGAGATTCAAGCGGGCGGCACGGTGGCTGAGTGGATAGCACTCTGGCCTCTCAGCAAGAAGGTCCTGGGTTCGAATCCCGGTCGGACCAGGGCCTTTCTGAGTGGAGTTTGCATGTTCTCCCCGTGTCTGCGTAGGTTTCCTCCGGGTACTCCGGTTTCCCCTACCACTAAAAATATGTCCAATAGTTCTAGCATGCGCCTCCTGTACTGGCGACCCCGCTCCCATCTCTGTGTGGAGTGAGAGACAAATGCCCAAAATTAACAATTGTAAACCGCTTTGAGTCTCAGATCTGCAGTGAAAAGGCGGTATATAAATAAAAACTTACTTACTTACTTCAAGCGGGTAGGCACATCTGCAAGAGCATCATTACAGTTGGCATGCTGTAAATAATAAACTTGTGCTTCGTTTTCCCTTACATCTTAGAAGGGCAATAAATAAAAGAGTACAAAATAACACTGGGTAAACGATATTCGTTTACTTAATTTGTGACAACGACCACCAGGCCCTGTGCATCGCATGACAGAACACGTAAAACTCGCTGGTTCACTCCTGACAGCAGTCCAAGCGGTACCTCCTAGTAAACACTAGTCATCACTTCCTCTGCTACAAAACCAGGTTTGCCGGTATCGACAACACACAGCTCCACACCGCCTGTCAAGCTTCAGAGCCAAACACATGTAACAAGCTGAATGCCCTTGTGTAATGGAACAGAAAGAACTGACCCTGGCCAGACTATCGCACACCACAAGGCCCTGTCTCTCCGTACAGCCCCACCACCCAGCGCTGAAGCTGTGAGAAGCTAAACCACTGCCCAGTTAGCTTAGCATGTACAGTGCTCAGTAGCTAAGGGTTTAGCATGCAGTCCACTGGGTCTACACAGCCCGATCCGCTCCAGGCATAAAGCCCACACATTGTGCAACAAAGAGGGATCTACATTAACGCAATTAGATAATGATACGCAGATTGTGGGTGGTGAGATGAAAGCTGGTTTATTTTAATGCTATCCGGGTGGAGGAAGCTACTGCTAACTGCTACATCGGGCTGTTGTTTTCTCCACCACACTCACTGCATTCGGAAACCAGCGCTCGTCCGGCCTCGGCACACCTGCTTACCTCGGGCAAATATCCTTCCTTCTACTGCACAGAAAATGGCAACAACATGAAGCGTTGCCCAACGGTGGACTCCTCCAAATTGGCGTTCATTCGTATAGGTTTCTTTTCCAGTCCTGTGCTACAGCTCCTCAAACACAGACGGCAGTGTTAAGTAGCAGCAGCTCCGGAACGCGCACAGTTGTTCGACTCGCGGGGGCGCGCTCTGCACGAGCCGATAAATTGAATTAATTGATTTTTTAGTATTTGTTGTCCCTTTTTTGATTTTGCTTTAAATACATTATATGATATGCAATTATAATATTTTAAGAATACAAAGTCTTGATTATTTATAGGACGATAGGCTATGGCCATTAGTTCATCGACGCCCCCGTTTCTGATTATCTGAGCATTCGTTTGAAAATAAAATAGGGCTAAAATTAACAAACAAAACTATATCCAATGTATTTCATTGCCAATTATACGTAATGTTTAAACAATGTAATGTTGTAGTGACCATATGCTTTGTACTGTGAAGTGCAGTAGTTAGTTACACTACTGATACAACCGCATGAGATTAAAGATTAGGAGGCCGTGCGCCTTCACGTAGTAATCTGGATATCAGGCATTCGGGCATTCCCTCTGCCCGAAACAGGAGAGGGGGTGGGGGTGTTTCTGTAGGAGGGGCCACACTTTGGTTACGTAAGTGCATTGTCCCAATAGGCAAATAGCAGACGTCTAGTGCTCGGACAGTACAGGGTTCAGGCTTCACTCTTGAATATGTAATCCTATTGTCCTGTTGTGAGCATGAGCTTAAGGGAGCCATTATCCACACTACAGCAGCCACTGAGCAGGGTTGTTTTAGCCCCAATTTACAGCATAATGCAATTGAATAATTGTATCATATGGTATGTACGTAAAAAATATACTTTCAAACATTCTTATGCTTATTACAAAATATATAGGATATTCAGAACACAGAACTTTCCCACAGCATCACTGTGGGATGAATAATGGTTCTCTTATATTTTGTTGTTTGTAAGTAACAAAAGATGTATGTGAATACATTAGTATTGATGTGGCTAATGAGGTGACACTGAAACTTCGATTTAAATCTGTGGTCCTGCATCACTGAGAGCAAGTTCTTATGAGTTAAATGCATGTTTGTATAATTTAATTGCTAAATCCATTATTTCTAAGGGGTGTGCTTCCATGCTTAATAGTGAGAGGTTATTATCATGACTAGTTTAGTTGCCCGAGTCAGACTAGCCAGGGCCTTCTATGTTCTGATAAATTAATATTGTAAAACCATGTGGTTCTGCCTGGTCAGACTATAGAATACTGGTGATTCAGGCCATGTAGTAGTTTCAAGAGGTTAAATTGCTACTTCAAGTCTTATTCATTCTGGTGAATTGTACACTCTGATCTTCCCTATGGAAAGTACATAAACGCAGCATATTTGTAAAAGGGACACTGGATTTACCAGAGATGTCAACAGCAATATTACTGGACCACAAAGTATAATAAAATAATAAAACATTGTGTTCGTTTTTCAATAAACATGAAACAGGGAAATCTAGATTTGGTATTTTTCTTTGGCAATTATAAATTCCTTTTGTTTTAACTTGTGACTCATTAGATTTTCATAACATCTGCCATTTTACATTTTAGAAGATAATATAATACTATACTTCAGTATATGTTTTAACAGAATTCCAATCCTATGGGATACTCTTCACTTGCAGTGCTCTATGCATTGTCCTCCACACTGTGATTTAAAAAATATATTTAAAGTTATAACTTCTTACCTACCTACTTCTATCTCTTTATCAAAGTAATCAAATGAATGTAGGAAGGACATTCATATAATATACGACCTGGCCATAGCATGAATGAGGATCTCACAACCAGAACCACAGAGAATCCAAAATATTGTATGTGCCTTACACCTAAGACCCAGAGAAAAGCAGAAGAGAGGTTTTTCATGCCAGCCTGGTCATCAAAACCAGTTTATAATACCATTTGTGTTTATGTATACTTCTACTACTTCAAACCCCTTTCAATTTTATTTCTTTCATTTTATTTTTTGTACCGTTCCGTACAAGTTTGAAATATATTTGATAATAAACTATAAGAGCTGAAGTAATCCTGAAGAAGCTGTGACTAAGTAATGTTTACTCATTTTAAACGTATCAATTACGCTTTCACACCAACTTAGCCAACATTACACATAAAATTGTAATTGCAATAATCTTTTCTTTGAATGAACATTGAAACAACTTCTACCCTTAACAAAGCCATGGACATACATGCTTGTTTAGGGACAAACCTTACATAAGAGTTCAATTTAAAATCCTTCATTTATAACAGAACAAGAACCAACATATCTGTTCAGCACTATAAAGGTTTTTGTGCAGACTTTTTTACATTAATTCAGGAGTTTCATTTACAAAACTGATATTTACATCTTATAAGTCGTCCACATTCAGAGATAGAAAATAACACTGATTCAACTGAGATCTTGGAATTTTTCAAACAAGGAAAACTAACCTTCCATGACCCACTGGGAGTTCAAAATATACAGATAAACTGGATGAAGACACAAAAATGGCAAATGAAAAATAACTATAGCCATGCTTATTGGAAAGTCACAATTTAAACTATAGCACAGGTTGCACAAAATCAACGGTTTGAAAAAAAATATATGTTCTTTTCATCAGGGAGATCTCTCAACTTCACCTATTGGCATGGTTGAGTTGATGGGGTTCATTACCTGTTCCATATTCATTCTGTGTATTTTATTCACTTCAATTTATTTACCACTCTCAAGTTGTTTTTTTTCTTACCAGTGTAACACAACCAACACATTTTTAAAATAAAAAAAGATAACTACTATGTCCCCCACATATTGTTAGTAGCAGCTCCATTCGTGAGCCTTTTGTAAATACAATTACAACAAACGTCCTTGTGCCAGAAGATAAAAATAAATATTTACTTTGGAGGGGCGGTTGGACATTCAGCCCAACAGCAGCCCCGAAAGTGCGTTCAAGTCTCGCATGTAGGGATTGTCACTGAGGATGCGGTCGATACGCTGCTTTTGGTCGGGGAAGATGTCGTAGAGTTTCTTCTTCAGCTCTGATGTCTCGCTGGGAGAGCGCTGGGGAGGGGGCGAGGGTGACGGGGAAGGCGATCGCTGTGGGGCGTGCCACTCTGGAGGACCCGAGTGAGGCCAGTGGAGGTTTGGAGGTAAGGGCAAAGTGTGGGGTAGAGGGGCGCCGGATCCCGAGGGGTGGTTAGAGTGCTGCTGCGGATGGGAGGTGGGCCGCAGGTCTGGGGGTCTCAGAGGAGGAGGGGTCGATGGGAGCCTCCTGCAGAAACGTGCAACATTTGAAGTGATTCCACACAACATGTGACAAGTGAAAATCAGTGTTGGTATTAACGTTATTCGTGTAAAACGTTGTCATTTTGGTCAGTAACCCATAATCCAATTAGTTCTCCAATAACTAATAGTAGTAACTAGTTCTCCAGCAATCACTTTTGGGGATTGGAAATGAATAACAACCACCAATTACCATTTCAATACAATGTGTTGTTTATACCTAGACAGTATTGGTATAGCCCCTGCTTTCATTAAGAACACATCTTTCCAATTGATCTAGCAGAAAGAGTATTTATTTTAAACAAACCTTGTATCTTCGCAAAGAAATTCGTCAATGTGAGGCCCTTTTCTTCCCAGTGGATCGTCTGGAATCATAAAGTGGTCCTCTACAAAAGTAAACTGAAGCAACCTAGAAATAAATACAGTAATTTATTTTAGAATTACAATAACTGTTTCCATGCATTTAAAAAGCACACATTTGCAAAATTTGCAAAGAATGTCGAACGACAAAAGTGACTTTATTCCCTTTTCTATCAAAGTGTTGGAGCACATGTTTGATGTGTAACTGTGTGCAGTAGTTACTGGAATATGAGGTACTGCCTTTGAGCTGTAATTACATATTTTATCCAGCAGAGGGAGGTATGTCGCATTTGAGCCAAATAAAAATTCTCTGTCATATTAGTTAGACGTTTCACTACTACACTTCAGATGGCAAACCTGTGACCACAGCACTTTGACAAGCTAGCACTAAGTCTCCCAAACAATTTATACAGTTCATTTTACAATAATTCAATTTCTACTTGGACACATCAAATTTGTTCAATGAATCGGCCTTTTCTAAAACCCAGGTGCACATGAGAAAATCCAGCTCAAATGAGAGCATAAACATTAATACAAATAATAGGTTTCCACCTCCTTTAATGTATATAATATTGAAATTGCATTTCCATCCCCTGATTTTTAATTTGCAGGCAATGACTGAAATGAAAGAAGGTCTATGTCATGGTTTTCATGTATGTAAAGCAATACCTCTCTTGAATAATACAGCGCCAGGTCTCTGAGGTATTAACAAAGTCTCTCAGGTTGTCATTTGTAACGATGACTCCATCAGTCTTTTCAGCAAGATGCAGCAGGAATCTGACAGAAAACAAAAATCTTTTTATAATGAGCGACAAATTGTATTTCTTCCTTCACTAAACAAGTTCCTCTCTAACACTGGCCTGTCTTTTCTTACTGTCACTTGTAAATAGCATCACAATCTATATACACATTTGTTTTTTGGCTGTAAATTGATATTATGGATGATAACCCAAAAAACCATCTTTTCACTCATTGATAGTGGTTGAGCAAAACAGTTTATGGTAAACCTTTGAGACCTTTCCAGATCGGCTCAATAGTGTTAATATTCGATAATAGAAAAAAAAAAATATTAAGGATGCAACTGTGTGTGTTGCATGTTCATTTCCTTACTATATACACATTAGGCTTTCATAGTATGCACTAAACAAAACATGAGGTGAATATAGATGTCCCGTACCTATCATCGTGTGAAGTTATTCTTTGTCCACAGACTTCTCTTGAGGGAGTGAACGACAGTAACCTGAGGTCTTCAAGCTGGGTCAGGAAATGTTGCTCTGGATCAAAGAGTATATTATTAACATTTGTACTGTTTGTTTTAATAAAAGGGGTGAAAAGCACATAATGTAACACACCTGTCGTAAAGCGGTCTCTTTTTTGTCGCCATTGTGGCACAAAGACTGTAATCACCCTGTGTCCCCGCCTCCAGAACATTTCTACAGCCAAGGCAATGCCGCGACAGGAGAAGAAGCGGTGCAGGCCATGGCTGCACAGAACACACATCACAACCATGAATCATGGAACAAAGAATCAATGTGGAAAATGTATGTTTTAGTTTTATAAGATTAGATAAAACTTTAATGATCAGCATCAAGCTAAGAAGTCTGCCTGGCAATGACAGTCATGCAATATGTCTTTCATCATATCTACGAGCTGATATAAACCGTAAAAAAATATGTAACTTTTATGGCAAGCAGGAGTTAAAGCTTACTTCTTAAAAACATTCCCAAGCCCCAGCAGAGCTCAGGGCCAAGGGACTATGGGCGTACAATATATCAAAATAACAGTTATTGCGATAATGACGACAGGTACAATAAAAATTTTGCAAAAGACATTATCAATTTATATAAGATTATATATTTACTCAAATTGTTTTATATATAGATATATCTATTGATATAGATATAACTATTTCTATTACTTTTTTGATTGATATTGTACTGTTACAGTGTAGACTCACGCCATTGCCACATTGCTGCCATCTATGATGATGTGTCTCAGACCAGCCCGTCCAGGTTCATTTGGCAGTGTCAAAGTATAAGGAGTCCTCAGAGACTGCTGAAAGCGTGTGAAACCAGTCACTGGAGGCAATGGGGGGTCGCTGGTTGGAGGTATCCGGCCACCAATAGTTTGAAAGGAAGATGCAGGAGGCCGGTTTATGGTCTGAGTTGACTAAAAGTAAGAAAAATATCATTGCAACAAGAACTTTTAACAGTGCTCTCAAACTGTATCTCAATAAGTACATACACTGGGAATTGAAGACATTGAGCACACCTCAGGGGCTGTTAGCCAGTGAGGTGTGTTCCGCAGCGCTGTCATGGTCTCCAGTTTAACTGATCCCCCCAAAGTCTGAGTCCCACCCCTGGATAAGAAGTCCTTTTGAGTGACCCCACTTCCTCCACGGGCCAAGTACTCTGTTCTTGAGTCCTGGTGGTTCCCAGCAAACATGGGACACTTCCTTTTATCCAGTCTATTTTCTACCAGTGTCCTTCCATGGTCAAAGTCCTTCCTTCTGGACTGAGGCGTTTTACTGGTTGAAGACAATGAAGATGATGGGACATCTGTCAACCCTTTTACTCGCTTAGTTTCTTCATCAATCTTCTCCAGCAACACAAATGTATCTTCAGTATGACCTGCTTCTTGTTGGACAACACGCTCCACAACTTGCTGCTGGTATCCCATTGTTCTACATACCATAAAGAAATGTAAATATACACAAGCATTAACACAGAAAAGTACAATTTTAGTCAAAAAATTCTGAAATAAAGAATTTTAAATTCCTATATCAAATACCTAAACAAAGAACGGGGAAAGATTCGGAACAGCTTATGGGTATGGAACATAAAAAACAACAGCATTGACATAATAAATGCTCAAATCTTTACAATTCTACCTGCCATCATTAAATATAATTTAACACAAAACATTTTGAGCAAAAATTAAAAACAATGTTCACCTGAAAAAATTCACTAAGCAACGGAGGTTGGTTTCTGGACTGACAGTCTCTCCATCCTCAGAGTTGCCTTCACTGGCAGCCATCATGATGGGGCCCACCGTGTTGGCCTTAGAGCAGAAAGTTGAGGATGCAGAAGGGGTTTTGGATCGACAAAAAGCATTGCCGCCTCGCTCCCGTCGTTCCCTTTCCCGGGCCCTTTCTGGTGAGTCCTCTCGACGCTCCAGAGAATACTGTCTCTTTGTGTCTCTGGTCTCACTTGCTGATGAGCGTCGCTTGTGGCTTGGTCGTGAACCATTGAGCAGAATAACTTCAGGGCCAAGTCCTATTCCACCTCCTGCTTTGGATCCAGCAGAGTGGCCACTCGTCCCCTTCTCGTCAAAACTAGCATCCAAGATGCGGTGGGAAAGCTCAGTAACAGGTGTGCTGCTCTGAGAACGATCTTGCTCCACTTCTGTTATACTCTGGTTAGGTGCCTGATAAGATAAGATATGCTTTATTTATGTCACAAAGGAGACATTTACATGTCACATTTGGCATGGATAGAAACACTCAGATTGTGCAAAAAGGGAGGAAATGTGCAAACATGTTAAATGCAGGATATATTAGGTACAATAAAAAAAGTGGCAATTTCAAAGTGGCAATCAGAAATAGTGTCAATAGTAGTGCAGGTTTTTTTCAGTCATATACAGTGACTTAAAGTGACTTATTGTACAGTCTGACAGCAGTGGGGAATAAAGGCCCATAACAATTATATACATATAATAATCAATGAAAAGAACAACATTTTAATATGTGGCACACCACACTAGACTGACCAGAGCATATGTGCAAGAGCCAGTGGAGCTATGTGCCAACCCCAGAAGTTCCTCCTTCAGGGCACTCGGCAGAAGTAGTAGCTCCATGGTGTACTTGTCATCTCTCTCCTCCACAAAGGACTTGAAGGCTCGCTTCAATGCTGGTTCTCTGTCGCTAGGTAAACTAGTTTTTTCCTGATTCAAAAATGTAAAAACATTTTAGTAAAGATTGCTTAATATTTGACAAAAGCTAGTACATTTAAATGAGTTTGACCCACACCTGAAACAATGCTACAAACTGCTGAACACGACTCTGTGCCATTACCACAGGTTCTGCCTGACCCAACAGTCGCAGTCTGCCAGGCTCCGGCACCTGGACCTCTGCACTTGTGTCTCGTACAAGTCTGTCAAGAAAGAGACCACGGGCACCAGCAAAGATACAATGCATGTCCACAGGATAGCGTTCTTCTTTTACGAGCTCAGGATCACAAAGGCCTCGAATGTACTCCTGTCAAACAAGCACAACAAAAAACACGATGATTAGATTTAGTCTGAGGCCAATGTGTTTGCAAATAATTCAGGAGAAAATGCAGTAGCCCTAATGATGGAACTAGGGCTGAAACAACTAATCGATTAATCGACGAGTAATCGATTATTGAAATAGTCGACAACGATTTTAGTAATCGATTAATCGTTTTCTGGTTCACACGGACTCAAACAGAGCAAAAATGATATGAAAATGTAGTATTTTTGATTAAAACCGACTTTGTTTTTATAATTTCATGAATATCTGTCTGTCTCATCCAATCAGATAGCAGAATTAGCACAAAGAGCCTGTTACAAACATTTACTTTAAGTTTACGCCATCCATACGTCCTCGAGTGTTGCCACTTTAGCTTTTTGTGATGAAAAAATATTTTTTTTCTACACAATTCACAGCCAAGCGATTACTCGATTAATCGTAAAAATAATCGATAGATTAATCGATTACAAAATAATCGTTAGTTGCAGCTCTAGATGGAACTAATTTTTTTATGAAATTATCCAATTGAGGTTACAAGTCGACCAGAACACACTTGTTTGGCGCTTACACATATCCATAAATTAAGTGTACTCAGAAGCCTACAAACCACTACAACTGAACCAAGTGTGAACATACAACAGGCTGAAGGTGGGACCAAGAACCTCAGTACATAAGATAAATTAAAAAGACTTAAAGTAAATGATACTCCAAACGGGTTGAGAGAAATATGACCTTTTATCATAGAAGTCACAAAAGAATGAAAAGCACACAGGGCGTGACGTTGGCATAATCTATATCGTAATAATGACATCACAAATGTAACATCCCGATCAGGGAGGGTGCCACTGATACACTAATCAACCAATACATGACTCATGGTCTAAGAACGCTGTTATGTTGATAACAAAATATCAATTCAAAGCCAGGGATTGGGCACTCTTGACTATTACATCTCATCACCAAGTGAGAGAACGGCAGCGTGTACTAGATACATAGTGAATTAATATATTTAACTGTGTAATTTACCTTTGCCTTTGATACGCCGTCTCTGGTTCCCCTGAGCTGGAGCCATATCTGTCGCGACGTTTTGTTTCCAAGTGGCAGTCCCGTGTGGTCCAACAAACCAATAATTGTAAACGCCACCTTGAAAACTTGTTCCACTCTCGTCTTCGCACATTTCAGTTCTTCTTCTTTGTTCTCCAACACCGTAAATTCGTCCACTGTGTTGCCATCTTGTTGTGCTCTCGCTGCGGGAACACAGAGCGTGCTACTGGGCTGCTGATCGTACATGAGCTCGGTGCTTCTCCGTAACCCGAGGAGGGGCCGCGTTGTTGACATCTTCGCAACAGCTTTTCCCTTCGCTTTAGGCTCCTCGCTTCACATTTCTCGCCACTGGAAGACCAAAGGGTCTGATTGGACTAACATGTTTAATCTTGAGTCACGTTAAGGACCACAAGCAGTGTTTACAGCGTCTAGTGTCATGAACACAGTTGGAGCTAAAAGCTAGCAACACGGAAGCCCCGAGTGACGGATCCGGAAATGGGAAAGTCCCACTACATGACGTCACCAGAACGCGACTGTTTATTGTTTTTATTTGTATGTGTGTCAGTATGTAATGGTAACAATTAATTGCCTCCTGAAGGACTGTTTGGAATGTTATTCACTCTATTTTACTCAAACATGCATAGATGTATACACGTATTTACAGTCTATGATACACAAACACGCACACACACACACGCACACATATACACAATTCTGAATACATGACATACACATTTGTGTTCATAAACATTATAATTATACAATAATTTTGCATTTATTTTTGTGAAACAAGTCCAAATGTTTCAACGGCTGCCATTTAACACCCAGAAAACAATATAATATTCACTTGAAGAATACCCAATAATGTTTTCTTTCGTTTTTTACCTTAAAACGTAATGTAAGAAAGTATGTATTTTACTTTCTGATTTTCAGAAAGTAACTGTGTTCTAAATATTAGACTTTAAAGCAGTGACTGTAAGGGAATACAGTTACTCAGAAAGAGAATTCTATCCTGTTGCTCAATCTATAAGGCTTGTGTCTAAACCAATCTGAATTGATTGTAATCGATGCAAATTCTAGTTGGCTGACCATCATCATGCGCAGAGAGTGTGGTTGATATGTCAAGATGCTCATGAAGGTCTCTCAACGCAGTAAGTGCCCATGGTTTGATGGTTTGATGCAGATGCAGGTGAGGGCAGACATTATCTGCAACTTGTCGAGGTGATATGAAGGTATTAAGTAGTGTTGGAGAGATCTCACTATATTATCAGGATATTTCAAACAACATGGTTGGTGGATTTTTGGTATTTTCTCTGAAGTTGACATTCAACCTGTTTAACTCATTTGCACATTGATGTGCACCGGTCTTTGAATTTTGACACACAAATTATTTTAGTAGCCCTACTGAAGGATTTGCTTGCACTTTGTCACCTTTAAAATTGGGCTCGTGTTGATGGAAGATTATGGGCTCCATTGAAAAAGGTATGACATGATAAGAGATTTAAATGTATCATGTTTTTAACTGTAAATCATATGGTAATTTATTTCTTATTTTTAATTATTCTCATTGATTGGCTATGGGAATCTAATTTGTAAAAATCCACCTTCTTTGTCATCTCTTACTCTCTTAATTTCACAGGGACTGAATTCCTGTTGGTGTCCCGAACCTGGAGTAAACAAAATCATGCAGCCAGTATCTGGAACAGTCTTTCTGAAAATGTGAGACAGGCTTCTACTCTGATAATGCCCAAATCCAGGTTAAAAGAGGTCTGTTCAGCAGTACATACAAATGAAGGATTGTATCTGGACTATTTTCTATGCACTGTGATTATTTGTGATTTTAATGCCTTGTAGGATTTCCCTGTCTCTTTAAAGACCGGGAAATCAATATGTGTTGCATTTAACTTGACCTAACCTGATTGGTCTGTGCAGGTTTAACATCTCCTTTTCAGAACACAGAACCTTGAGGACCTGATTACTCACACAAACCACTGGATGGCGCTGTTGTCCGCTGTATGGGGATGTCGCTCAGCGCGCGTCTTTTTCCCTGATGGTGATATCGACTAAGAGATGTTTCCAATCAATATTTTTCATTATTTGAAGCTCAGGCGTACACAGCAGTGGAATATTGTCTTTATTAAAGTTCATTGTATGTCTATGGGAGAATAGAGGAAGTTGAGGGAGTTGAGAGGTGGCTGCAGTAATCTCACTTATCGGCCTAAACATTGCAACACTGCCTTTATGTCAATGAACATGGTCAGGACTTGAAACCAAGACATACAAATGAGCATTTGCAATATTATATACATCTATTTATACAATTAGTGAATGATATTTAAGCCAGTAGAAATCTCAAACATGTATTATAACAGCACCTTACGATGGCGGTGACTTGTTTGAGCTGAAACGCATTTTTCACCCAAAGAATCTATCATAAACTGAGCTAGAATGAAATGTTTATTTTAGAAAGTTCAAGATTAGCTCTACATATGGACTTATGTGTGACATACATTATTTGTCTAACATATATATTTTTGAAATTACTTCAATTATTAAATTGTAAACTTTTAAAATCTATTTTCATTTATTTGAACTTACTCAGTCATAACCATGTAGGCTACAAAAAGCACATACGTGTCATAATTAAAACACAATAATTTTTCTCACTCATTTAGTGGTTGCAGATTCAAAGATCTGCACCTTTTGGGAAAGTGTAACAGGGGAGTGAATAAATAAATACAGATAATTAATATTCAATACAGATAATAGAAATAAAAATAAAGTGCACTTTTAATAGTATTCCCTACATTTCCCTATGTTACTCATGCAAGTGATTGAAAAGTAGGAGGAATTTTCCGAAGGTGTCTAATATGCAGTAATAATGGTCAAATATAAAGTAGAAGGAACCATCCTTGGTTTTCAGCATTACTGGTTCTTTAATGATAGTGATAAATCCCTGGGTCTATGGTGCTTTTCTTCTCATAATATTCTCATATAATGTGGTGACAAACAACTATTGCAGCCACAGTTGCCTTGGGGTACACTGATAGACGCGAGACAACCAGTATGTGCCATCTGCAAGACACTTCTCCCACATTACCAGGAATGAGTCTGGTGTGAGCATGACAGTTTGGCACTTTACAGCCGCACCCCGCTGTGGCACCTGGTGTTCCTAGAGATCTCCCATCACAGCACTAACCAGGCCCTGCCCAGCTTAGCTTCAGAGGTATGATTGGATCTGGCTTTCACATTCCAACAACAAAGAGAATATCTGTTATCCACATGTGCAAAAGATACAAATGTAATAGCAATGGACACAATGGACACTTAATTTATGTTCACAATTTTGAATATCCAGTCAGAACGCAGAACTGGCAGCATCTTGAGTTGCCAGTTTATTTGGTGAAATCCAGCTGGTTTGAATCGCAGCAGCTGGCACACCAACATCAAAAACAGCAAGACACTTGGCAACCGAGGTTTAGAGGTACAAAGATGGTATTATACCGCAGTCTAGTCGAGTAGTGAGTTTTAAAAATGGAAACTTCAAACATGTAATCGCTTATTTGCTTGAGTTTTTGTGTGCCTCATGGTGAAAATATTACACACAGTTAGCCACACCCGCCCACTTAACAAATGTATTTATGTCGAACCACCTCCCCATGCACTCTCCCGCTGCGCTTCCCTCCATCTTGCAGGTCAGGAGAGATAGAAGCGGGATAAATTTTGCCCGCAATAAAAAGGCCTGCATCATGAATAATAAAAAAGGTGTAATTTCCCACCAGTGATTTATACGTATCTCTACACACATGCGGCCAATGGCACACAGAAAGCAGGTTAAATTGAGATGAATGAGGAGGATGCAGAATTGGGGACGGACACGCCAACGACAGCCACTTTAGCTCACTTGTGCATGCAGACAAGATAAAAACAGGATAACACAAGAGGCAGGCGGGAGGGGGGGGGTATGTGGACAAGTGGAGAAAGACTCATCTATTCCTGGGAACTGAACACAGAAACAGAAAAGCTTCCGGTCATGAATAATAATAAGCCTGACTTGTAATTTGAGGATGTTGTTGCAATATGTTTTGTACTGGCTCGTGGTTTTTTTCTTGCAGTTTTTATTTTTAAATCATTTTGTTTCTATAAAAGCTGGGGTACCTAACTTTCAAACCTAAACAAATATTGAACTATTTATAGAAATCCATCTAACTAGTTCCTCACTCACTTTCAGTCCAAAATGTCCAATTTTCCAAGAATGCAAAAGACATAATGTTTTAGATAAACAAGGTGAAGATGGCATAATATGGTCCCAAGATCCAAGATTCAAGAATTTATTTGCCATTTGTAGTAAAACCACATAGATAGTTTTCCACTGACGTCACGCACTACCCACAATTCCGCAGTTTGCCATTTTGGGAGTCTAGTCACCGCTAGCTGTAGCTAACCAAATCGGGCCAAATCACTTTTTTGCTAAAACATGCCGATTGCCTGCATCGTTTGGGGGTGCAGTAACCGCGTAGATTGTGGGGACATTCCGAAGGCTATTACGAGCCATGTGAGCGACTCGGAACGGAGAAATTGACCCTTTAGTTGGCGGGGATCAACCAGAGGGATTCAACCCCAACCCCTGAAAAACGGAACTATAAGGTCTGTTCTGACCATTTCATAACAGGTAAGAGATAGCTAAATCTGTGCATGTGTGGTTTATATTCAGAGCTGCGATGTGACTGTGATACCATGTATATATAGGCGCCTCGAGCCTCCCATCTAAATGAATGAGAGGGGGAGGAGGAGGGGGGAAAGGGTAGTGATTTACGGCCTGTGATATCAACTTTTTTGTTCAAAATAAAATATTTATTGAAAGAAATATTGCATCATATACATCATGACGTTTTTTTAATTGTAAAACTGTTAAGTGAAAGTAAGCCATTTTTGGGAAGTCCTCTGATCTCGTCGCATTTCACATGGATTCAAATCTCCCGATTCTCAAAGGATCTTGACTCACAGATTACTCCAGTGTATCAATATACTTAAAGCGGTCAGTGTCAGCCGAATTCGTGACTTTAGATGACATGGGGACAGATGATCCGTGACAAATTATCAGTGATAAATGATACGTGCAATATAAGCTTGACTCCTAAAATGCTGTTCGCGCAAAGCATCATGGGTAATAAGCACGTGATGGAAAACCATGTATTGGAAGAACTGTGCAAGACTACCTCAGGCTCTTACACACACCAGAGCTCCTGCCAGGGCGTCATTTTTCTGGTCTGATTTATCCTGAAGAAGTACCA